AGACCAACAAACCTAGGACATATGAATGTTGTCTTAGACATATCTTCTTCAACCATGAAAATCTGATTATAACCAGCATTACCATCAAGAAAGCTAATAACCCGGTGTCCTAAAGCATCATTGATAAGCATATCAGCTATAGGCATAGGATATTCATCTTTTGGAGTAGCTCTCTTCAAATCTCTAAAATCAATACAGACTCTGATCTTCCTAGAATCTTTCTTTTCAATAGGTACAATATTAGAGACCCACTCCTGCATGGCTGAATAAACCCTGCTTGCAACAACAGATTAATTTCTTCTTTAATCCTGTCATAGATTGTAGAATTAAAGCAACAGAGGTGTTGCTTGAAAGGCCTGCTCTCGGCTCAATCCAGGCATCTCCGTATAATTCCATGCAAAATAATCAATATATTCCTTAAGAAGCGCAATTAACTCAACTTTGTAATCGGCTTCCAAGTTTTGATTTATAAATGTCGGCCGGGGCATAGAGCCATTCCCAATATGAACCTGCTCTAAAGCATCGGTCGATGTAAATCCTTGGCCCAACTTATTGATGTAACACCCTCGGTGTTACACCCTAAACAAACCACTAAATCATGTCATGAGCAGCATGTTTATGTGACATTGCATGTGATAAAGAGTGTAGATGAATTGCTTGTAACCTAAAATGGTTGATAAAAGTGTTAAATGAAAGTTGATCCAATAGTTCATGTTGTATCAAGTGAGGTTCAAAACCATTTTTTATTGGGCAAAAACATTATAAAACATACTTTTGTCACTTAAATAAAAGTTTAAAGTACAAACTTTGTAGATAACAATGCAACTCTTGCTGTAGAAAAATAAAATTGCTGGCTAGTATTTTTAGTAGCTTGGAAATTGAAGTTGAAATAAAAATCAGCCTTAGGCTTAGCAAATTTCCTAAGTCTAAAATAGAATGGCAGTGCCATGCTGGGGAATTAATTTTGAAAAATGTAGCTAAAGGCCAGTGCTATGTTATTACTCCTAATGGTAGTCCAATGTACCCTCTTTGGTATGGTCTAGGTGGTTGTGACTTAATCGAGTTGGTTTAGTCGTGGTTGATGCTTTAAAATTCTTGCACGTGAACGGCCTTGGGCTGTCTGGCCTAGGGCTGCGATCACCACATTTCCCGTAGCTCGACATCACGCGTGTTGCCGAGGCCATGTCGGCTAGGCCTGCTCCTGGCTTGGCCATGGCTGGGCATGGCGGCCATAGTTGGCCGCCTACCCTTACCGTGCAGTGTTGCTGCGACTGCAGGCCTTGCGCCCTGGCCGCCGCTGCCGCCCTGTCCCGTGGCAGCCCCATTCCCTGCCACTCTGCTGTGATGCCGCCGCTGCTGGTACTACGTTGTGTTGTTGCTCGTCTCCTCACTACGCGCATGAGGGCTTGCCTCCCTCCCGTGCTGCGCGCACCGTCGCCTTGCCATTTATGTTGATTAGGCCACGCAGGCAGTGCTCGGTCGAAGACGCGTGTGTGTTGTCTGTAGCATCAGCACGCGTGTCGCCCTAGTCGCATTGGCCTCATCTCGCCAAGACGAGGTCGCGTTGAGCTCCAGTTTTCCCCTCTTCTCTCTCCCACCATGGCCGACTAAGCCACGAAAGCAAATTCGGTAGGGAGAGGTCACCTCAGGTCATTTTGTTACGTCTCTAGCGCCGCCATCAAGCCACCTAGCTGACTGTTCCCACCCTACCTTGAATGGTGCTCGGCCGAGCTTCAATTTTGGAGCTTTTCCCCACCACCGTGCTGATAAGGCCGAGTCTGCCCATCACTAGAGGGCAGCTCCCATCTGACCACCTCAAGCCAAATTGGTTGCACCGCTAGACTCGCCTCGAACCCCTCCTCGCCATGCACACCTGAGCCATACCCCTACCACTATCCCAACGCTGCTGATGTGGTCGTGTCCGCTATGGCTCGTCGCCGAGCTCACCGCGCGTACGTGGCCAGCCTTGCTCGGGGCGTCTCCGGTCGAACCATCGCCTCGACCAGGTCCTTGGTGAGTCACTGATGCTCACCCACTACCTCTACTGCTCCCTTAGTGTCGTGGCTCACCAGAACGTTGTTGTCACCATCGTAGGTTGCCCGCCACTATGGAGAAGTCGCCCTACTTCGTCTCTGGTCTTCTAACCGCTGCCCAGCGTTGCGTGTCGGTCCATAGGTGAGCATCAACCCCCTAGCTAGGTTTACGTGGGTCCTAGTTGGCCGATGTAGTGGCTCTGTGCTGGCCAACGCCGCGCCGACAAGCGTGAGGGCTTCAGGGACCTCCCCGATGCGAAGATGAGTCTTTTCGGGGGCCTTCACGCATAATCGTTGACTAAAAGAATAGGGCGCATAGTGGTTGCATTAATAGTAGAAAGTACGGGGCTTTTCTGCTAAAATGCCAGCTCTCGCGTGGGCTCCCCACCGTGGGCCGCGTTGGGCTAGTTCGGTTTTTTTTTCGTAAAGAATTAGAAATAATTTTATTTGTTTATTCGAGAGCCAGTTTTGTTTAATTAATATAAAATCTTGTAGATGCCCAAAAATTATGAAACAAATTTTGTTTGGTTCCTAAAATTGTGATCTATTGTTGGTGTAATTAATGTATACATATACATGTTGATACTAGGGGCTACTAAATCATTTAAGAGTGCTTAATATTATTAGGTTAAATATTGTAGGAATTTTTGTGGTAAATTGGTGATAGCTTTAGTCCTAAAATTTTTATGGTAGCTTCATTGTAGGTCATAGACTTATTATCCTGAGTACATACTTACTTATGGGAGCGGGAAGGCTCGTTACGCTCTTATCGTGGGTTCCGGCTCTTTTTGGACCGACTGATTGGAGGCGGGGAAAGGTGGAGGTCTAAGCACCATATTGAGACCGGGTCTCAAATGTGAGGGCCTGGAGTCCAAGTTTGGATGGGGACCTAGACCCCGTGATAGGAGTGGAATGGGTTGGTCTTGTTTGTGCTTGGGGTATAAAAGGGGCGTGTGTTTTGGGGTACCCAGCTGGGATACATTGGTTCGTGAATCATCATTTCCATGAGATGGTATGACTTGGCTATGGTCTAGCACCTTAGTAAGAACTAGAAGATGAAAGATGGTGAAATGGTTCTGATTGCTCAACCCTTGCTTGAAAGTAGAACATGTGCTTACCTAGAATGGTTAGGTAATGAAGTAATCATGACTGCTAATAAAACTTGACTGTAAGGATGAACTATTAGTAATGCTTTCCGCAAACAAAAAGAAAACAACAAACCTTACTGCCTATCATACCCTTGGAGTCAGGAAACTATTCCCATTAGTCGGGTAAGTCTTGCGAGTATATTGTGTACTTAGGGTTTATTTACCCCCTGTTGCAGGTGCAGCTTGAGGAGTAGATCTTGTGTGGAGAATTCTTCTAGTGGACACAGATTGATCCTTGTATCATTTTCGTTAGACGTTTATTTCAATTTCACTGTTTAATTATCGCACTCTGAACTCTGGTATTGTAATAAATAATTTTTAAGAACTCTTATTGTATGAAATGGACTAAGTATTATAAACTCGTACTCATTATTGGATTCTAGATGTAAAATATGGATTGTTTTGAGTTCTCCCTTGGGGTATGCTCGATGGAACTGTCCAATGTACCTAACTTTTGGAGTGCTTAGTGTCTAGTGGAAGACGAGCACCTCCAAAAGCATGTTATTTCGGGTGGTTCTTCCACAATTGAGCTCATCAAAACCATTAATAGACTCACAAGCATCGGTCTTATTAGCCGATACTATTTAACATGATGTTTTAACCATTCAACGTTGGCATCCATTACAATAAATGATTACACAATGATATTGAGCCGATTATTAATCAGCTTTAGAGATACAGGAGCAAAGCCTTGCTTGGTAACACTAATAAATTCAAAGCTAGAAAGGTCTCTACAAGACAAGCAGGCAATAGCATCATGCCCCCCGAGTGTAGGAGCATCGGCTGTAGCAACATCAGCCGATGAATCTGAATGCACAACCTCAACAACATCTCCCACCCACTGGATGAGAAATTGATGCAAGCTAGATGGTACACAATGATTGGCATGGATCCAATCACACCCAAGTATCAAGTTATAGCTACCTAGCACGTCGGTGATGAAGAATGCCGTGGCCAAACTCTTGCTTCTAATGGTGAGCTCCATGTTAGCAACTCCTCTAGCTGAGATGGGAGCACCTCCTCCAACACCGCTGATGGTCATGTTGGTCTTGATCAGCTCCTCATCGGTGCTATCGAGCTTCTTGTAAAGTGGATATGGCATCGAGTTCATGATCGCCCCACTATCCACTAACATGTTGTGAACCGATGTGCCATTGATTTGGCCCTTCACATGCAGAGGCTTGAGATGGTTGACGGAGTCATCTGGTTTCTAAAATATAGCACTCTCAATCACGAAATTAAACTCCGTCGCCACCGAATCATCTCCAAGAATATAGTAATCAGCGGACATATAGACCACATTGATCTTAGCCCTCTCTGGAGTAACTTCATAGTCAACCATCTCCTCATCGGGGACCTTAGGAACCTCCATGCCAACCAAGGTAGCAACAATGGAAGTGAAATCTTTGAAGGACACCTCAGAGGCACCCGGGATAGCAGGAGTCAGCTCAGCTGACTCTGAAGTCGGCTTAGCCGACTCTGGGTCTTCTAGAGCTACAGGGGCAGCCACAGTCGGCTTAGCCAACTCCTCAGTTGGTTTAGCTGACTCTGGGCCTCCCAGAGTGGCAACAGGGGTGGCAGTCGGCTTAGCCGACTGACCATCAGTAAGAGCCGGCTTAGCCAACTCTGAAGTCGGCTGAGCCGACTGGCTAGCAGTAGCAATGTTGCTTTGGTCTTTTGAATGGATTTCAACGTGTTTGGGGTTGAAGATTTCACCCTCCATCTTGGCAAGCTTCTCCCTCTTCTGTTGCTTATGCCGGGTACACTGCAATTTGCGTCGTTGAGTTTCATTCAACCCACGAGGACACCACACGGGTTGTCAGTACTTGGAATCTCCTTCGACGTGTTTCTTTTCCTCAACTCTAGCAACTTCTTTAGGAGCTTCATTTTGTTTAGGTGCTGGAGAATCTTCAATTACAATTGGCCCATCATGATTAGTGATAGGAGTTTCCATGGAGCCGATTGTGATTACCGATTGAGGCCTAGCTCTTGGTGGGGGAACAACAGGAGTTTCAACCTTCTTAGGCACATAAACTTGCTGCATCGACGCCTTTCCTGATTCTTGTGGAGTCAAAGTCCTAGAGGTGATCACACGATCTTGACTTGCACCACCGGAGCTCGATTGACCGTTGTTCAATTGGCTAAACAAGGAGGTTCTTGGGATTTGACTAGAAGGCTCTCCCCACCTTTGTTGACTATGCATAGGTGCCATCGGAGGATACAACACCCAAACTCCATAGGGACCCCATTATAGCATAACGGGAGGTGGAATCGGGGGACCCCAGTGAAATACATGAGGAGCAACTCTCTAAGGTGAACTGTTGGTTGCACCACCGCTAATTGTTTGGACTTGTCGTCTTCTTGCTTAGGTGGAGTGGACTCTCTTTTTTTTAACGGTCGATTCTAGGAATCGGGTTTTGTTGCTTGTACTTGGTCATGAGCCTATCAAAAGTGCATTGTTTTTTCATGAACTCTCCCCGGTTGTTCTTCTCATTTGTCTTCTAGGTGCCAATCTCCGGCCTCTGTGGAACAAACGTGCGCAAAATTTGAACATCGAAGGAACTCAGGCTGCTGGAACCTGGGGAGTCGGCTATAATCGGCTTAGCTGACTTGGCTAGCTCTGTGGTGGAGTCAGCTAAGCCGATCCCTTGGGTCGGCTGAGCCGACTGGCTCTGCTGACTGCTGTGTGCTGGAGTCGGCTTGGCCAACTGGTGGAGTCAGCCTAGCCGACCTCTATTGTGCCACCGCTGTTTCATACCATCGTTGCCTTCTCAAATTTTGCGTAGATACAGCGGTGATCCTCAACTTATTCCAACTTTCATCATCCTTCTCAAGCACCACCTTGCACCCCAAATTATTTTCGACATTCGGCGTTGCACGTGGTTCGTGGATATTCACATTCTTGCCTTGAGCTTTATCGACTTGCTCTGGACGTATCAAAATAGTGGGAGCCCCTGCTTCAACCATATGCATTGGAAATAGGGACTTATCAACTTGCATCTTAGTAAAACTCAATCGTCCCTCATTAAGGACCGATTGGACCTACCGACGAAAAATATTGCAATCATTAGTGGCATGAGAAAAAGAGTTATGATATTTGTAATAAGCCTGTCTCTTTAACTCATCCGCTGAAGGCATTATATAATTAATTCTAATATAACCATATTTAAGCAATTCATCAAATATTCGGTCATATTTAGAAAAATCAAAAGTAAATTTCACTTCCTCATTCCGATTCTTATGAATCGGCTTAAGAGAAGGGCAAGTAACCAATTTATTTTCTGCTAGCCATTTAATTTCAGCAGCTAAAAATTCTTTGTTATCATCATCGGAGCAATCAAAACAATCATCAATAACATGCACATTCCGACAATGAGACTTGTAAGCATCACGAGATTCTTTAAGGCGCGATTCAACCAAAATGACCTTTTGTAACAATTGATTTACATTAACAAACTCATAATGCTCAGGTTTTTCCCTAATACTAGGACATAAACCAGCAAAGCATAAATCAGTCAAGTCTCCTTCAGAAATCATTAAATGAAAGCATCAGTTCTTGATTTCTCTGAATCGTTTGAAAAAATCAAAGACGGACTCATCACGGCCTTGATGAACCGATGTAAGGTGAGACAATCTAGTTTCATGAGCACCATTATAAAAATAATTATGAAAATTTTCTTCTAATTCAGCCCATGAACCGATAGAACAAGATGGTAGTGAAGTAAACCAAGCAAAAGCTGTGTCGGTAAGTGAGAAAGGAAAATTATGAACTTTCATGAAATCATAAGCACTAGCTTCACCTAATTGTGCAAGAAACATGCTAATATGCTCCACGGTTGACTTACTATCATCACCACTAAATTTATTAAAATCAGGTACCCTCCACCCATCAGGTGCTTTCATGAAATCAAAATGCGAAGGGTACAATTTGCGATTTGTATTCCTACTAGGCTTGATCTGTACACCCAAACTTTCCTCAAGTGATTTAGACAATTCTTCTCTAAATCGATTTAAGTTTCATTAAAATTGGTAGTAGAGCGGTAGGTACATTATCAAGTATAGGGATTTGGCTTGGTGACTTCGGATCCAATCAATCGGTCTAGAAAGAGCTGGAACCCACAATAAGAGTGTAACGAGCCATCCCGCTCCCATAAGTAAGTATGTGCTTAGAATAATAAGTCTGTGACCATACTATCATCCATAGCAACGGATGGTCCTTAATCGACACAGATAGGAAAAACAGTGTAACCAAGCTGAGCCCCATTGGCCGTGGGACACAACCTGTTACACCCACCAATACCCATACCATATCCTTGCCCTGTCTCTATTTTTCCTTTCATCATTTTATTATGAGAGTAATTATAATAATCACCTATTGTGAGTAACGACAGGTTACTCACGTTATCAAAAACCTAACCATTGTAGCTACTCGAACCTGTACTAGTTGGACTCATAGGACAGATATATTTATGCATGTGGTTTCCATATATTTCCTATAACTTAAATGCTCATCACATATATATATATTCAGTGATTATAAAAATAAGGGTTATGCACCGGGGCTTGTCTTGGGCACGCGCGGTGTCAGCTGAGTCAGTCAGTGGCAGCTCTAGAACCTCCTCCTACATGAGAATCTCCTCCTCGTACTCCTCGACGATCTCATTGAACTCACGATCGTCGGTGGTCACGATCTTCGCCGACTCATTCTCTACATGCATGCGATGAAGATGCAACACTTAGTATTTATGCAACAACAACTCTTAAAATAAGAATACACATACTAAGTTACTCAGCTAGCTCTAATGACTAAGGTACTAATTTAACTATCATCTTCACCAAGTAAAGTGTTGGGTTCAACTAACAAACCCTTAGCTTGGTAAATTAATGATATATTTTTATTTCTACTAATGATTTAATGTATATTGAAACAAAGAGTATTTAACTATCCTAATGTTTAGTCTATTCTAAAACTACAAAAAATACAGTGAGCATATAATAATACCATGAAGCTACTATAAAAATTTCAGGACTACAGCTAGCACCAATTTACCACAAAAATTTCTACAATAATTAACTTAAGAATATTGAGCACTCTCAAATGATTTAATAGCTCCTGGTATCCACATGTACATATATGACCTAAATACACTAATAGATAGAGCACAATTTTAGAAACCTAACAAATTTTGTTTCATAATTTTTGGACACCAACATGATTTTATATGATTTACCAAAGATCAGCTCAAAAATTAAATTAGAAAACTATTTCTAATTTCTTAGGAAAAGAAAAACAAAACCTCCTGCGCGGCCCACGTGACACAGCGTGCGCGGTGGCCCACAGGCGCGGCCCATGTGGAGACGGCCCACGTCGGGGAATCCCACGCGCATCGATGACTTTGCAAAAAAGACCTCAAATTTCTCCCGAATCACAACTAAGTACCAACACTATTTCCTCCTCTCTCAGAACTTTTCACTTAACCCCCTGGCCTTTCCCTAATTCACCCGCGCGCATGCCCGATGACCCAGCGCACGACGGCGCGACCACCTTGGACCTATGATGGACCACCTAACGGGCCGATCATCATCTCCGACCTGAGCAGCTACGCTAAGCGGCGGTGCGCGGTAACACGACTTGCTGGAGAAGGCTGTAGTGCCGCGCGGCGATCCATGATGGCGGTGCCACTGTTTCAATGAGCTGGGTAGCTACAGGCCTAATTGGTTAGCATGTGAGCATCAGGTGGCTACTATGGACCAGGCCGAGGTGACGGTGGGGACGGAGGATGACGGAGGAGGGCTAGCCATGTGTGATAGAGCCGTGTGGCGACGCACCGTGGCGTTACAGTTACGTCAGCTACGACAAGGAGGCGATAGCGGTTCCTTAGGCAAGTGCAAGGTGGAGAGGGAGGCAAGGCAAAGCTAATGGTGCAGGCGAATTGGCTTAGAAGGGACGGTAGGAGGGCTACCCACATCCATGGTCGGACGCGGCCTTATCAGCACGGAAAACTCCAAATTGGAGCTTGGCCATTCTAGCTTCAAGGCTGGGTGGGGGTCGAGGGTTAGGTGGCTTAATGGGGAATCCAGGGACATGATGAAATGAGCAATGGTGACTCAACCACGCTGAATTAAGCGAGCGAGGTCGGCCGGTCACGGTGGCAGAGAGGGAGGGCAGGTCTGGCTCGGCTCGTCCTTGCCTTGGCGGCAAGCGGCCGGCCAGACCCAAGGTGGTGTCTGCGGACCCGCTACGTGACAACATGGCCAAACCACATGCGCACACGGGGAAGCAGGTGGGGGCGTGGCATGCTCGGTCGTAGCGCCATTAAGACGAGGCGACGACGCGGGGCAGCAGGGATAGCCCATGTGCGTGATAGGACAAGGTGAGCGGCAGCGCAGCACAACATCGTAGTGGCGTCAGCAGTGGCAATGTAAGGCAGGGCAGCAGTGTAAATGCAACAGCGAGGTGATGGTGCGGCAACGGCTCCATCGTGTCATGGGGTGGGGCAGGCGGCAGCAGTAGCAGCTCCACGTGGCAGGGCCAGCGGTGGACGGCCACAGCCAAGCCAGACCAGCCGTGGGCGACCATGCACGGGAACATGCGTGCACATGGGATAGCCAGCATGGCGATGCCGAACGCTCGAGCATGGTGACCACGCCCACACGGCCAACCAGCCCGAAACCGTGTCGTGCACGAATTCTAAAGGGCCTATAAAAACTAATCGGTTGCTTCTGGACCTTAACCATCTTCACCATACTCAAGATGGCATATGAGACTACCAAATTGAGCTATAACACTACACCATCCCTTAACCCAATCTCTCAAAATAATTTGCTAAACATAGCAATGTCTAGCTGTTGATAAACTTGAAAATTTTCTAAGTTTCTGAGCTAAACTTGATTTCAATTTGCAATTTTTAGACTAGCAGAAATATTAGTTAGTAATATCATTTTTCAATAGCAAGTATTTCACTGTCATCTACAAAGTTTGTGCTTCAAACTTTATTTAAGTATCACACACATGTTCTATAGTATTTTTACTTAATAAAAATTGGTTTTCAATTATACTTGATATACATGAGCTATTGAATCAACTTTTATTTATCATTTTTATTGATCATTTTAAGTTACAAGAAATTTATCTACACATTCTATCACATGCATTAACACAAAAACATGATGCTCGTGACATGTTTTAGTAAATAATTTAGGGTGTAACACCGAGGGCGTTATGGTAGTGGTGCACGCTCTAGAAATTTGGAGGCATTACCTGTTGAGAAATAAGGTGCATATCTACACGGATCACAAGAGTCTTAAATATATTTTCACTCAATTTGAGTTGAATATGAGACAATGGAGGTGGCTTGAGTTAATCAAGGATTATAATTTAGAAGTTTATTATCATCCAAGAAAAGCTAATGTGGTTGCTGATGCCTTAAGTCAGAAGTCGCATCTAGTTGAAGAAGAATCTTTGCCCCTCACCTATTCTGAATTAGCCCGTATTGCTCTAGTCTCGGATTTACTTGAGCAAATTATTATAGAGCAAAGGCAAGATGCTGCTGAAATCCCCCATATCAAGAAGTTAATTGCCGAAGGGCGTTGTCCCCATTTCAGTATTGATGATCAAGGTGTGGTGAAGTTTAAGAACCGATTGGTGGTTCCCTCAAGTGATGAGCTTAGGAGAAAAATTTTGGATGAAGTCCACAACTCCAAATTATCCATTCATCCGGGAAGTAATTAGATGTATAATGATTTGCATCACTTGTATTGGTGGCCAAATACGAAATAGGATATTACCAAATACATCTCAGAATGTGACATTTGCGGAAGGGTTAAGGCGGACCATATGCGTACGCCTGGATTTCTACAACCCTTGTCTATTCCTATTTGGAAATGGGAGGATATTTCCATGGACTTTGTTGTGGGTTTGCCTCGCACGGTAAAGGGGCATGACTCTATTTGGGTCATTGTGGATCGTCTTACCAAGTCCACTCATTTCCTCCCAGTGGATATAAGGTATTCAGCCAATAAGTATGCCAAGTTATATTTTGATCGGGTTGTGACCCTACATAGAGTTTCTCTCACCATTGTCTCTGATAGAGGTTCAGTTTTTGTCTCTCGCTTCTGGGAGCAACTCCAGAAGTGCCTTGGTACTCGCTTCCTCAGAAGTTCAGCTTATCACCCGTAAACTGACGGTCAGACAGAAAGGGCCAATCAAGTACTTGAAGACATGTTGAGAGCTTGTGACATTTCTTATCCAGAAAAGTGGGATGAATGCTTGTCTTTAGCTAAGTTTTCTTATAACAATAGCTATCAAGAAATCATTCGAATGGCACCTTTTGTGGTCCTATATGGCAAGAAGTGTAGAACACCTCTTAACTAGGTTGAAGTGGGTGACTGTGGTTACTTTGGACCTGATTTCATAAAGGAAGCAAGAGAGCAAGTTAGTGTTATACGGAGTCATTTGAAAGCAGCTCAGAACCATCAGAAAGCTTAAGCGGACAAGAGGAGAAGACCTTTATAGTTTGAAGTTGGTGACCATGTGTACCTAAAGGTATCCCTGATGAGAGGTGTGCATCAGTTTGGAGTCCATGGAAAGTTAGCTCCTCATTATGTTGGATCTTATAAAGTTTTAAAACGGTGTGGTACTATTGCTTACCGTCTCCAACTCCTGGATATTTTGTCAGCAGTCCATAATGTATTCCATGTTTCCCAGTTAAAGAAGTGTCTAAGGGTTCCTGACGAAGTGGTGGAAATTAAAGGACTCCCTCTCCAACATGATCTTTCTTATATTGAACATCCCGTCAAAATATTAGATGAAAAAGAGAGAGTCACTAGGAACAAAGTGGTAAAATTCTATAAAGTCCAATGGCAAAATCATTCGGAGAACGAAACAACTTGGGAACAGGATAGTTATATTTTGGAGCATTATTCCCATCTTCTCCCTGAAGTATCGAGCTAATGGTTTAAGTTAAAAGTTACTTCTTATCCCTTTTCCCGCACTAGGCACACATATGAAATCTTAGGACGAGATTTTGTTTAAGGGGGTAGAGCTGTAACACCCTCGGTGTTACGCCCTAAACAAACTAGTAAATCATGTCATGAGCATCATGTTTATGTAATAATGCATGTGATAGAAAGTATTAATAAATTTCTTGTAGCCTAAAATGACCAATAAAAATGTTAAATGGAAATGTATTTAATAACTCATGTTATGTCAAGGAGGGTGGTGTCGGGTTCTTAAACCTAGGGTCCCTCACGGATCGGCTTCCCGACAAAGGCTCGGCCCAAGCAGACAACACGCAACTCATGGGCTTACCCAAGTATCTAAGCAACAGGTCAGAAGGGCGATTCAACCACCGACCGGAAGGTCTAGCCGAGGAGGAGCGGCGCCCATTTTCTGACTCCGGCCCACCATTCCGACCGAAGCGCTCGCTTCGATCTCCAGCCCACCTCCGGATGGCCTCTCCGACCGGAAGGCCTGGTCAAAGCACTACTTCTGACTCCGACCCCACGTCTCCGACCGGAGATGCTCTAAAACCCTGCTCACTGCTCTATATTTAGTTTCGCAAACTATGTAATTAGTTTCGTAATCAGTCTATATTTAATACTCCATATATATATATATATCCAAATATCTAATAAGACAGCCACTAAAAATTTAGGAGGGACAACCAAGACCGCCTTAAACAAGCCCTGAACGAAGTTTGCCTCGATGAATGTACAATAATCGCATATAGCTAATGTACTGTGCGGAGTAGACGTTAGCTGATGGTCATGAAGTTACACTTGATGGAACCGCTGGCTACTATAATCAGCGAAAGAGACGTAGCCCCTTTTCCTAAATAGAGTGAACTACTCGCTTTCCAAGAAGCCAAAAAATTTAGTCAAAAAAAAGCCAATAAATTTAAGTTTAATTAAATTTATAAAAAAATAGTATCAGAATTATGTTTTAAAAAGTTATTATAAAAATACATCAAATAAAACCCCGGCGGCCCGGTCCCCTTTTAGGCTTCTTCTACCCGCCGCCATAAACCCTAACACACAACACAAGTGCGCTGCCCGAACCACCCAGCCCACGCCGCCGGCGGCCGCCCGCCATGGTGAAGGCTTACCTCCGCTACGAGCCGGCCCTCACCTTCGGTGTGATTGCGTCGCCGGAGCCCAACGTCGCCTACGACCCCTCCGGCCGCCGCCTCCTCGCCGCCGCTCTCGACCGCCTCGCCGCTTGGGACCTCAAGCGTGGCCTCCCCTCTGTCTCCTTCGCACCTTCCTCCTCCTCCCTCTCACTCGCCGTCTCCTGCATCGCTTCCTCCCCCTCCGCCGCCGTGTCCTCTTCGGTACCCCTGAACCTCCTCCGGCTCTCCCTGCCTTCAGTTCTCTTCGAATTTGGCTGGCTGGTTCACGCGTTTGAATTTGGCTCAATTTCGTGCGTTTGTGTTTTGTTTGCTATAGATTGCGAGCGGGCACGCGGATGGGAGCATCAGGTTGTGGGACGCGGAAACAGGTGCCTGCGAGGCAACCCTCCACGGCCACCGCTCCGCGGCCTCCGCCCTCCGCTTCGGCCCCTCTGGCGCCGTCCTCGCTTCTGGCAGCAAGGATTGCGATGTCATCCTCTGGGACGTCGTTGCGCAGGCTGGGCTCTTCCGTTTGCGTGGCCACCGTGACCAGGTACATTGCGGCTTCACATGTCTCTGAATCTGTTTGATTGGTTAGCAAAGCTTAGTAGTGCTAATTGAGGGGATCACAATGTGCAGGTCACCGATTTGGTGTTTCTCGATTCTGGTAAGAAGCTGGTGAGCTGTTCCAAGGACAAGTTTATCAGGGTTTGGGACCTTGAAACACAGCACTGTCTCCAAATCGTTGGTGGTCACCGCAGTGAGATTTGGTCAATGGATGTGGATCCTAGCGAGAGGTTTTTAGTGTCTGGGTCTGCTGATCCAGAGCTGCAGGTGTTTAGAATCCGACAATCAGTGGAGGAGGGTGAGGATTGGAGCAAGTGGGATGTGCTCAAGCTATTTGGTGAGATTCCACGGCAGAGCAAGGAACGAGTGGCAAATGTTAGGTTTAATAGGGACGGTAGTCTTGTGGTATGCCAGGTGGCTGGGAAGACAGCAGGTATTTATAGGGTTCTTGATGAAACAGAGGCTGCACGTAAGGCCAAAAGGCGGGTGAACAGAAAGAAGGAGAAAGCATCTGCGAAATCCATGAATGCCGAAGAGAATGGCACTATCATTGATCCTTTACCAGCTCAGAACTTACAAAATCCCACTGTTATCGTCACTGATGTATTTAAGCTATTTCAAGTTTTACGGGCAAGCAAAAAAATATGTTCGATTGCATTCTCTCCAAGTAATCCTCCAAGAGGATGTCTTGCCACTTTGTCTCTATCACTCAACAATAACATGCTTGAGACGTATTCCGTGGATAGCGAGAAGGTATCAAAGATGTACTCAGTTGAGATGCATGGACACCGTTCTGACATCAGGAGTGTCTCCCTTAATTCGGAGGACAACCTCCTGATGTCGACTAGCCACAACGCTGTCAAGATATGGAATCCTAGTACAGGGGAATGCCTTCGGACCATTGACTCTGGATATGGGTTGTGCAGTGCTTTCGTCGGAAATCGGTTTGCTCTTGTTGGTACGCAAAGTGGTACTTTGGAGATTGTGGATATTGCTAGTGGGAGCTTAACTGAGGCCATAGAAGCTCATGCTGGCTCCATACGATCAATTGTACCTATTCCAGATGAAGATGGAACTGTTGGTGCGCGAGGCTTTGTCACTGGAAGTGCTGATCATGATGTCAAGTTCTGGGAATATCGATTGGTGCAGAAGTCTGATAACGTGAGTCTCCTGTGTATTCCACGTAGAACGCGTTAAGTAACGTGATGCATCAGTTCCTGTTTTCCTAGTTACTTCTCCACAGATCAGTTCCAAGGAAAAAAAACCATTTTTATATTGATTGATGATGGTTTTCTTATATGAGTATATGACTATCTTCTGTATTGTTTTTTTTACCTGTAAAACTGTTGCTCCATCCATCAACTTAATTGGATGTTATATTAAGTGCTTGAATAACAGTTCCAGGTCAAAAGAATTTTGTGTGTCACTGTTGATGTATTAGCTTTTTATGATAAAATGGCTTGTTCATCTCTGTATCAATTTCAAAGATTCACTCGTGTGGCTATTATTTATTTCTGGAGTTCTTTGTATAATCCCAATAACTCTACTAAGCAGCTTATTGATTTCTTGACTTTGTTACAGGACTCTAAGCAGCTGACTGTAACTAATGTCAGGACCTTGAAAATGACCGAAGACGTCCTTGCTGTCTCGATCAGTCCCGAAGGAAAGCACATTGCTGTTGCTCTCTTGGATTGCCATGTCAAGGTTGCTCTCTAAATCATTTTATGTATCTGGAAATTTGGAATTATACTATCATTTATGTGTTTAGAATATTTATATGTATTTAGATTATAATTATTGTAGAGATGGTATGGGATTGTTGAACCTGAACCCCTGGTCCATATGATTGGATTGTTTATGTAATCTAGACCAGATATTGTTATTATAGCAAGAGAAAAAATCTTGTTGATGTATGCCTCTGCTTCTCTGTTGACCATTATAATATTTCTGAAGTGCCATCTGCATGTTTGCATAAATGCTTATTTGCTTCAAAAAAAAGTGTCAATATTTATAGTCTTCACACTTGTTAAATTAATAGGTTCTTAGTGTGCCCCCAGTGAGTCAGTGACTGAAGTGATTATTGACACATGAAAATCATCATTTGCCTTCTCTAATTCGCTAATTCTGTTGTTATTTAGTAATAACATTGTTCTGATCAAAGCCATGAACCTTAAGGACAACTGCAGCATTTCACATAGAAATCTGATCGTTATTTTCCTGAGGTACAAACTACGTTTCGGAAAGTGGAAACCATTAGGAATAAAAAGTTGCTTCAATCTATAATTACCTCTTGGTTGCTTTTCTTGCCTCAAATATTCTTATGTTTATACAGGTCTACCACATGGACACGCTGAAACCTTCGCTAAACCTTTATGGGCACAAACTTCCAGTTCTCTGTATGGACATATCATCTGATGGGGCTTTGCTAGTTACTGGCTCCGCGGACAAAAATTTGAAGATTTGGGGTATGGATTTCGGGGACTGCCACAGGTCTATATTTGCTCATTCAGACAGGTATGATATTGCTTTTTAATTATTGTTTTTTTTTGTTTTGATTATATATAGGCAGAACCTTATATAATTTTTTGGATGTCTTCACTTTGCAGCGTGATGGATGTTAAGTTTGTATATAGAACTCATTATATGTTCAGTGTGGGGAAAGATCGCACTGTGAAGTACTGGGATGCTGATAAATTTGAGTTGTTGTTAACACTTGAAGGACATCATGCTGAAGTTTGGTGCCTCACAATCAGCAGTCGAGGTGATTTTATTGTAACAGGTTCACATGATCGCTCCATTCGGCGTTGGGATCGTACTGAAGAACAACTGTTCATTGAGGTATTTTGTGATTATATAGGGTTGAGATGAAATTTCTTTTTGAGTAGCCTCAGAACATATTCTAGCAGTTTCTTCAACCTTCTTAGAGATTGCTTTTTTTCACCTCTAAATCTCCAATATTTCCCAGGAAGAGAAGGAGAAAAGATTGGAAGAAACCTTTGAGGCTGATTTAGAAAATGATAATGAATATAGATATGGGCAGAAAGATGATGCCCCTGATGAAGGTTCTGTGGGTGTTCCTGGTAGGAAAACAAAAGAGACAGTAACTTCTGCTGATGCAATCATGGATGCACTTGACACTGCTGAGGAGGAACTAAAACGCATTAATCAGCATAAAATGGTACACTCATATATTACACCTTGTTTCACCCATAAATAATGGAACATTTTCTTGATCTTCATGTTTCACAATTTTCAGGAAGAGCAAATTAATGCGAAGGCAGCTAAATTTCAACCTAATGTTATAATGCAAGGGCATTCACCTTCAGATTATGTTCTGAATGTAGTTTCAAGCATCCGTCCAAATGATTTGGAGCAGGCCCTCTTGGTATGTGTTTTCTGTTCTTTGGTGATAGATTGCTTAACAGTGTAATTCCACTTGCCAAAATTTCTTATGAGTTTATGTTAAAAACTGTGTTTGACTGTTTGTGTCAGATACTGGTTCACGGCAAACTAAACTGTGTGTAAACTTGTTACCAGCTCTTTTCTTCCTGTTTATCTGTATAGTTGAAATTAACTTCGTATGGTTAGTTTTACTAATAGAAAGTTTGTGAATCACTTTTCAATTCAATTCCTTCTTTAATTAAAAACATCAATTCCTCATTTCCTTATCCTATGTTCCGTTCCTATCTTCCATTGGCTTCAAATTTGAGATCATAGTAATAGTGCTTCTTATTACCTGTGATTAATCATAAATTTATTTCTGGCAATTATCATTTATACATACATATATATTTTTCAAAAAAATATCTTTGGACCAGGCATTGCCATTCTCGGATGCACTAAAGGTCATGTCTTACTTGAAGGAGTGGTCTCTGGTTCCTTCAAAGGTAAAAGAATGCATTGATATATAATCGTGTTTGCTATTATGCCAATAATTACAGTAATGTCAATAGCATTATCTGCTAGATTTCTCAATTTCTGCTCACATCAAATACTTCTGGCTAGTTTTGTCATTGTTGATCATGATGTTGTTGCCTTTTTATGTTTAAAATTGGTGTCTGCAAAAATATATTTTTTGTCCTTTGAAGTACCACTTTCCCAGTTTGTTCCACATTATATTGCATATTTCTGCTGTCTTGATTGTTGGTTTCTAGTCTTTGAATACTGAACATAGATGCTATTGTGTGAGTTTTTGTGGTGTGCAATGGTTATGCTTACACAGGTCTCTCTAGATACAAACACAATTGTTTCTCTACTTGTGCCTCCTACAATCAGCAAATATGGATGTTACTAGCACATGTATTTTGTAGTTTTATTTGCTTTGGAAAAACCATGTTGATCAATTGTGTTTCATATGCTTCATTGTGTCACATCACAACTCAACATTTTGATTTCCGTCATTTTCTTGTAGCACCATATGCAATATCCTGATTTCTGGTATAACCTTGCAGGTTGAGCTTGTTTGTAGGGTTTGCTTAGTGCTCCTTCAGACACATCATAATCAATTAACTGCTACGCCAGCTGCAAGATCCTTGTTGGCAGAGCTGAAGGATATTCTTTACTGTAGAGTAAAGGTAATTTTGCTTAGGTTGAAATTCAACAAGCATCTTTGCAGCAATCTGATCAACATCATACCTTTGCCCCCAGGAATGCAAGGATACTATAGGCTTCAACCTCGCCGCAATGGATCATATAAAAGTACGGCGCCCCTTTTCCTCCGTGAAATTTTGAGCTACTAGATAAATTCACTTATAAGTTTAGCTGATAAATATTATGTGCCCATGTTTTAGGAATTGTTGGCGATGAGATCAGATGCACCTTTCCGTGATGCCAAGGCGAAACTCATGGAAATCAAGCAGGAGCTGTTGAAGCGGTCAGGTAGGCTCGATGGGGATGAAAAAAGGAAAAATAAGAGAAAGAAAGCGTCCGCACAAAGCTGAGGCAAGAATCGAAGAATGTCAACAATCGAAGAATGTTGTATTGTTGTGCTCTACTTTTGTAACTACATGGACGTGCTCATTTCCTTGGTTCACGAGCACGCAGAATTTTTGATAGATGAGTGTATAATCAGAAAGTGCGTGGACATAAAGTGAGAGTAGCATGGCCCTTCACATTCAGTTTAGTGTTTTTTTCCCGATTCACATTCAGTTTAGTCCTATACCATACAGAAGGTCCATCTAATTATTCAAACTTTCTATATGCCCATAGAGGTTCGTCTTGCGTAAATCGTGGATGCATGTGAGTATATTGCATTGTGAGTTTGTGACTGACACATGCGGGATACCATCTCTCGTGTTTCATCGGAGTTTGCTGCTGTCCCAGTATTTCGTCCCTGCGGGGGAGTGAGCAAGAACAAGGCGGTATTTCATCCCTGCGGGAGGGAGCAAGAACAAGGCTGAAAGGAGTGAGCGACAACAAGGCGAAAAGGGTATGCTTTTTGCATGCGGGCTGGTCGTTTATTGCCACACTACTTGGCCAAGTACTATAGTACGTACTTTCTAAATTACTTCTAAAATACGTACTCTATTTTAAAATTATTAGGAGACGTTTTAGCTCTGTCCTAAATCAAACTTCTTTAGTTGTGACTAAATTTATAGAAAAAATATATCTAAACATCCATAGCATGAAACAAAATCATTAAAATACATCGTGAAATATTTACAATGCATTGATATCTATCGCTTCTCTTTATTATATTTCATCTCTACAACTAAAAAGAACATAGGAGACTGGTGTATCCAGTCGTGGTGAAGCCTCCTATCGTCCTGGCCTCCTGGGTCTGAATTTAAGCCAGCGATTTGAATCCCTTACCGTGACAATATGGTGATGATATCGGTGATTCAATGTGATGGCATGTCCCAGTGCGCGAAGGCAATGACATGGTCAGCGCATCCATTTTGGAAATAATCATGCTATCAATCATGTATATATGTGAAACAAAAGAAGGAAAGAACCAATTGCAGTCGTCGCTAAACACGCGTTCCTTCACCATTCAGCCTGTTCGCTTGATCGTAAACGATCGTAAATTTTCAGTTGAGAACAGTGTTTTTCTCTCACACCTAAACCAGCCAGCAGTAAATAATCCACGATACGATACGGCCTCCCGAACAGGCTGATTATCTCATTCAAATGGCTTATGTCTAGAAACCCGTCATCTGGGACATGCCATCACATTGAATCACCGATATCATCACCATATTGTCACGGTAAGGGATTCAAATCGCTGGCTTAAATTCAGACCCAGGAGGCCAGGACGATAGGAGGCTTCACCACGACTGGATACACCAGTCTCCTATGTTCTTTTTAGTTATAGAGATGAAAGATAATAAAGAGAAGCGATAGATATCAATTTTTGGTCCGTTCCTGTAAGATTGCCTGGTGGCAAGCCATATCTACTTAAGGTAGTACTCCCTCTATCTACAAAATATTGTAATTATGCGATCCGTGTTAGTCAACCTTTTTAAGTTTAAAATTCATAGTAAATAGTATTAGTATTTATATCTTCAAATAAATTTATTATAAATATATATTATATAGCCAATCTAACGGTACTTATTTTATATCTTAAATGATATATTTTCATATTTAAACCGTTTGACTGAGAATTACATTCTTCTAGTGGATGCAGGGAGCACCACTAGTGCCCCTGCGAGCACGGAGGTCCCACCGTGGCAGCTAAACTGACGTTTGTATTTATTTTTTCGCAAAAAAATGAGTAATGCTGATATAAACAACGAACATTTACCACTATTTCGGGCATGCATTCACAATGGTAGAATTGGCCATTTTTTAATCTCAGATGAACACAAACCTGGGCACCAGTCAAGCATGCAAAGGACCTACTAAAATATTAACTTATAATTGCATAGGTATATCCACTCCCCGTGTCTTAAACATAAGTCAACATTAACATATAATAATAAGCATATATAACGAAGGAAAGTACTCAAGATGCGTCACAACATGACTGCAAATCTAATTGTACAAGTCATCATCGTCAGCTGCTCCTGCAGCGGATGCAAAGGGATCAGCCGCACCAGCAGAGCCTGCAGCTGCCGTCGGTTGGTCGGCGAACCGGAACTCGCTGCCAAACCCACGGGACTGCTGCAGGGTCTGGGCAAAGGCCTGATACTTGCGGATGTCAGCGTCACTAACACTGCGGCGGGCAAACTTCATGGACTCCTCGAAGTGAGCAGCCTTGATCTCAGCAATGTCATCAACCTCGTCTTCCTCCATGGCCTCAGGGTTGTCCTTCCTGCGCCTCTCCCTCTCGATATCCTGAAATCAGATATCTCGGTTAGCAAACAAGCATATTACTATGCAATAACCAATACTGCAAACCAATTCCGAGTTTACCTTCTCGATGTTCTCCCTGATAGCATACTTGCACGCACGCTGGCAGATCTCAGTGATATCTGCACCGCTGAAACCCTGGGTGTATTTGGCAAGGGCATTCAAGTCAACATCATTAGCCACAGGAGACTTCCTGAGGCAGGCTTTGAAGATTTGAAGCCTGGATTGTTCATCGGGTAGAGGAATGTAGATTAGCTGATCAAGACGCCCTGGCCTCAGCAGGGCAGGGTCAATGATATCTGGTCTGTTAGTCGCACCGATGATGAAAACAGTCTTCTTGGCATTCATGCCATCCATCTCAGTAAGCAGCTGGTTCAACACCCTATCAGCGGCGCCGCCTGCGTCACCAACACTGCTTCCTCTCTGAAATTCACAATAAGTTACGATTCATTTGCAGGATGTATCAGTGTGTGAGCACATGAGCATAACCGAGAGGCTATACCTGAGTAGCAATGGAGTCAAGCTCATCGAAGAAGAGGACACATGGAGCAGACTGCCTAGCCTTATCAAAAATCTCACGGACATTGGCCTCGCTCTCACCAAACCACATGGTAAGAAGTTCAGGACCCTTCACACTAATGAAGTTAGCCTGGCATTCATTAGCAATTGCCTTGGCCAACAAAGTCTTGCCACAGCCAGGAGGGCCATAAAACAAAACACCCTTTGAAGGGGACATGCCAAACTTTTCAAATTTCTCAGGATGCTCCACAGGATATTGAACAGTCTGCAAGAATTTGAAGTTCGTTGGTAAATGACAACTAAGAAACGGCAATTTAACAGCAGAGCCAATATATGAAACCAAAATACCTCCTGTAGCTCCCTCTTAACGTTTTCCAGACCACCAATATCTTCCCAAGAGACATTTGGAACTTCAACAACCTGAAAAAGAAGTTCAAGGTTAGCTTCTGGAACAAGTAGAAATTTATCACAACATGCAAGAGGTTAGTCCGACAGATACTCACAGTTTCACGCAGAGCAGATGGGTTGCTTGTCCCAAGTGCAGTCTTGAAATGGTCATTTGTGACAGCCATAGAGTTCAATATCTCAGCATCTATGGTCTCATCCTCAAGATCTATAATATCCATCTTCTCACGGATGCATTGAAGAGCAGCTTCGGTACAAAGGGCAGCAAGATCAGCACCAACATAACCATGGGTATCCTTCCCAATGAGCTCCAAGTCAACCTGCAACAGTATTGTTAATTGAGAATTTGAGATCGGTTTTAAATATAGAGCACCAATACGAGTCAGTGAAGGTCACTCACATTTTCAGCCAGTTTCATGTTTTTGGTGTGAATCCGGAGAACCTCAAGGCGTCCAACTTCATCTGGAACACCAATATCAATCTCACGATCAAACCTACCAAACCTTCTAAGAGCAGGATCGATACTGTTTGGACGGTTTGTGGCACCCATGACAATAACATGTGCACGAGACTTGAGACCATCCATAAGAGTCAAGAGCTGTGAAACAATACGCCTTTCAACTTCTCCATGGGTCTTTTCTCTCTTAGGAGCTATGGAATCTAGCTCATCAATAAAAATGATGGAAGGAGCATTTTTTTCAGCTTCTTCAAATGCCTTTCTGAGATTGCTTTCACTTTCTCCTGCTAGCTTTGACATGATTTCTGGTCCATTGATCAAAAAGAAGAAAGCACCTGTCTCATTAGCTACAGCTCTAGCAATAAGGGTCTTGCCAGATCCAGGAGGCCCAAACAGCAATATGCCCTTTGGTGGCTTCACACCAATAGACTTGAAAAGCTGGGGATGACGCAGTGGAAGTTCAACCAGTTCTCTAATTTGGGCCATCTGCTTTCTAACTCCACCAACATCATCATAGCCAACCTCATCAAGTCTTTCCTCATCCTCCCTCTTAACAGGCTCACCCTCACAGAATATTTCTGTATCTGGTGCAACGATACAATACTCTGGAGGATCAGTCTCTATGACTTTGAATTCTACACTTCTCATGCCACCCCTGACTAGGAAAAGGTCTCCTTTCCTCAAAGGACGATAGGCTTCAAGGAAGTATGCTGAAAAGTTGAAGATAAAGTATTTAGAAAAAAGAAAATGAAACTGACTACAGCAGAAGAAAACAAAACACATTAAAGCAGACTAGCAAGTGAAGAACGAATTGTAGGTTGCCCAGTAATCTATCATCTACAGATGGTCAGATATCTATCAAGGTATGGCATACTCCATTTACCAACAATGCAGTAATATAGCCTAGTAAGCAGAATCAATGTTTTTGAGGCGTCGCCTAGGTGACAAGGCGTGGCAGAGGTGCTGGGGGTCGGGGGCGCCACAACCTGTAGTGGTATGGCGTCCGCATAATCGTATTAGGCGTCGCCTAGGCGTAGAAAGGCATCGGGCGGACGCCTACAGCCGCGCCGCGGACGCCGTATGCTAACTCGCGGGGGAAGGGAGCCAAAAGGACCGCGGCCCAGCAGGAAATCGCCCGCGCGCCCGCGCGAAAAGCAAGAGACGCAGGAAATCGACCGCGCGTCGGACCTACGCGCGGGAAATCGACCGCGCGTCGCAATTACCGCGAGGGCGGGCGAGGGGAGAGGAAGAGAGAAGGCGGCGGGCTTACCTCAAGCTCCGCTTGGCTGCTCCTCTGCTCCAAACTTAATTGCAAATTTCAGCAACTTAATTGCATTCCAAACTCCTAATATGTGCTGTACTTTTCATCCAGTTGATTGGTGGCGTTCTTATGGTGGCCGAGCCATTGAACTACAAAGACTTGCTAAGCGTATAGTTAGTCTTTCTGCTTCATCATCTGGTTGTGAGAGATGCTGGAGTACCTTCAATTTTGTGAGTATCCTTGTGATTAACAATTTCTATTTAGATGCATACAATCTGATTTTTTGTTTTGCTTCCCATCTGATTTTTTGTTTGTAGATGCATACAAAGGAAAGGAATAGGCTGCTGCACAAGAGATTGAATGATATTGTTTTTGTTTCATACAATCGGAAGATGAGAACAAGGGTTCAGCTTATGCGTGAGAAGGCAAGCAAGAAATATGACCCTTTGGTCATTGAGGAGTTTGATAGGGACAATGAATGGGCTGATTCATTGCATGTGCCCATTCCGGGTGCTCGAGGGTCTGATGCTGTCAATGAGCTCACATGGCAGCATGTTGATGAAGCCACCGGTGCATCACAAGCGCTGCAGGGTCGTAATCTTCCTAGGAGAGCTACTGCTACTCAACATTATAGTCGTTCAAGAAATGTTCCTGTTCCTGCTACTGAAGATGGAGAAGAGGAAGATGAAGTCGAAGACCCACATGATGATGCGGAAGTGAGCGAGTGTGAAGAAGATGGCAATGCTCCTGCTACTGAAGAAGCCAAGGCTGCTGATCCTGATGAGTTTGATGATGGATTTTGAGTGCTGAAACAGAGATTTGCACTCCTGCTGATGGATTCTTTTGTGTCCTGCACCCTTGCTGTACTTTTGTGTTGTCCTGCACTCCTGTTGTATGGCTTTGGTGTAGTTGACTTAATTAGTATGCTTTAGAGTTCAGTACTTCATTCTAAGTTTGTGGACTATTTGAGACAGACTATGATGTCATTTGTCATGCTCATGCATGCACTAATGCTTGCTAATTTGTTATCTTGCCTCTTGTGTATTGTTTCCTATTTAATTCTCAGCAACTGATAACCTGTTTGATTGCTGAATTCTGTAATTGTCATGCAGTTTCCTTCAAGGGGGATGGATGCTACATGGGAGAAGAGCTTTTGGAAAGGAAAGAAAGGAACATGGGCTCAAGAATTGGCAACAAACGAGGTATGTATGTGCTGCACTAGTATATAAAATTCTAGCTTACAACGCCTTACAATGTGTGTATGGCGTCGCCTAGGCGTCCGCCACAAACGCCTAGGCGTTGTGAAGGGGGTCGGGCGCGGCGCCTCGCCGCGGCGCCTCAAAAACATTGAGCAGAATAATGAAGATAGTTCAGAGATGCAACCAAACCATGGAAACTAGTACTAACACCTGGACAACTCAGAACTGAGCTTGTTTAATACCACAAATACCATCTTTCAACACACATAAAGCTATATAAATAAATAGTTACAATTAAATGCGCATCTAAAGTAAGTGTTTAAGAGAAAAAGGGGGTGATACAGAAATCTCACGTTTCAGAAAGGCATCAAATAAGTTGCCAGTGATGCCTTCTATGGTGTCATCAATTGGAAGTGTGTGCACACGCTTCCCGTATTTTACATCTGGGCATTGATGAACAGATACCACATCACCAAGCCGTACCCTCAAGTTCTTCCTGACAACCTTGTTCATCCGGACCTTTGGCTCCTCACACGTGTCATCTGCAAGCACAATGCAGATAGTGTCCTTTCTCTTCTTACCCTGCAATGAAGTGATCCAAAATGTCAGCAGAAAATAATCAAGTGGTGGTGACCATATATTATCTCATACCAGTCCCAAATTCAAAGTACAATTGTATGGGGGAAATGAAAGAGTACAATCCATAATGTTCCAAGTAATGTAGCTACAACAAGCAATTCAATTAACCTCACAGCGTCATAGAAAAAGCCTGCCTCTTTATGCAGTACATGTACAGCAGCAAGGTAACAGAACCAAAATAATCTATGTTACAAATTCAAAAGTTCAAAGTTAATAATGGAAAATGTCCAAAAGTATAATCATACCTAGCTGCATATAGATTGGTCAGGAGAATAGCACAGATTTATGTGCTATCACACAATTTTGCTTGGTCAGTAGAAAGGCACTGATTTATGCACTATCACACAATTAAAGCCCTACAGGGTCGGGAACCCTACCCTGTTAAATTCTCGCAACAGCTATGAACACATGACTAAAACAAACCAGGAACAAACTATTACCAAAGCCATGTACTGTAGTTCTCATCAGTCATCACAAATCAACCCTTCAACCAATTGAAAACCGCAACAAGGTCAAACTTTCAAAACGTAACCGACTAATATTTATAAATATCTCGCCAACCAAGCAAGTTTCCCCAAATATATGACTAGGATTACAAACTAACAGCGACAAAGGTCACAGCTTTCACAACGGACTTAATCTACACAGTAAACAATCACCACAACCGAGACCCCGCAATCCAATCTAAACAGAGGAGTTGGTTGGCTAGGTAAAGAGCTCAGGGATACCTTGAGCAGGACAGTGTCACCGCGGAAGAGCTGGAGCCTCTCCATGGTGTCCGGGTGCAGAGCGACGACGGAGTTGTCATCATTGGTGGCCTCGTCGACCACCAGCCGGTTCGGCGACTTCTTCCTCTCGAGGATCGCCGTCGAGTAATCCTTCTTCCCCTTCCTGCACCACACCCCACCACAGTGTCAATAAAAAAAATCACCAATAAAATCCCCCCAAAACCCTCTTCTCGCACCAACAACAACAGATCTAAGCCCTAGGTGCGAGCGGCCAGATCGGAGCGGGTACTCACGGATCCGAGGAAGACGGCTCGCCTTGGCTCGCCATGGCGGTCGAATTCGAGGAGGCGGTTGGTGCTGTTCGCGAGATGGGCGAGACGGCGACAGATATTTGCGGGGTGTTCGTTCGGGTTCGGGGGCCGAAGTGAAGAAGACGAGGAGGGGTCAGGGGATAGGTTCGCCTTTATTGGAGCAGGGGTTCGGGACTTCTCAACGTCTCGGGGTCGGGTTTCTCAATGACGTGCGGGGTCCCGGCGTCCGTGGTCCTACATGACAGTGGAGCTCGCGTTAGAGCCTTCCGAGAGGGGAGGTCGGGCCCGTGGGCCGTGGCCGACTTGGAGACTGCGGTCCATGGATTATGGGGCGGACGGGCCCACATGGCAGTTTCTGGAGGATGTGTTGTTGTTCGTTTATGGTCGATGATGGAGCAGCGATATTATTGGGCTGTCTACCTTCGTTGGTAAGTTTGGCATATCTTGGTGATCCTACCTACTACTGAAAGAAACCCTGTGATGTAAAGCAACCGACTTTACATAGATGTAGGAGCAGTAGTGTTAGATCCGATGCACATGGACACATGCAGCTTCAGCAAAATTTGTAGACAAATTCGTGAATTGTAATGCCAAGTTCCTGTTTTCGTAATTAGGTTAGGGCAGACCACGTCGAAGCGTCGAACGTCTAAAAATAAAGAATGACAAGCACGCATGTATTCTGTCAGTTTACATGAACTTTACGTATCTTCTAACATGCAAAACTTGCGCAGCTACTTTGTTGTTAGATTAGAATGCCCTAGAAAAAAGGTAAAGGAGAAGAAAAACACTTCGTCATCAGTGACCAATAGTTGCGACATCAGAGGATATTCAATACCCGAAGGTCCTCCACAATTATAACAGAATGAAAAAAAAAACTCTTTACATGAGAGGTCTTCCATACAGTACCCATATATATGGGCTGGCATGCATTACATGGTACAAGCTTGTGTTTGTGTCACTCTTGAATACACACAAGTGCTTTGTCACGACGCCGTTGGCCTAGGCAACCTCTTTGCAATTTCCTGTTACAGGAACACGGTCATGTTAGAAGGATGCATACTGGTAACGGTATGGCTACAGATTCAAATTTGAAACTGAAAATTTGACATATAAGCGAACAATACATGGCTGGTAAAAACAGATTGTGGTATTATGTTTAGGGATCACAAATGAATCCGCATATATATATCATAATGATATACCCAAGTGTCGACGAGCTAGCATAATGCAGTTTCCCTGTCCATGGGCTGCTTAGTGAAGTTTCTCAGGCTGTGCAGATGGCCTAGTCCTGCATGGTGGGTGCATTTTTGTGCAAGGAAAATGCACCCTGGGTCCTTAAACTTTTAGGACATTCCCATCTGCGTCCTCAAACAAAAAAAAGTGACTATCTAGGTCCCTCATCTATTGCCGCCGTGCACAAGAGGTCCAAAACTAGCCACGCAAGCACCAACATCCGACGTGGCACACCACGATGGCAGCTGAACACTGGGGCCCGTGCCACATTCTCAAAAACCCCGCTTTCTTTTTCTTTCTCACTCCCAAGTCCATCCTCTCTCTACCCAATCTCCTCCCCGACACCCCCCGGCTTCGACGTCGCCACCTAGATTGTTGTCGCGCTCGCCGCGTCGACGCTGCCGGCGTCCTCCACAGCCGCGGCTGCCTTCGTGGTGGCGGTGCTGCTCGACTCCGCCGCCAGTGGTGGTGGGGACATCCGTGAGCGGGCCATGGCCATGCTGGCCGACCTCGCGTCCTCGGATGCCGCGCGGCCTAACCAGGCGCAGGAGGCTGGCGTCGTGGTGCCTCAACTGTGCCGCGCGCTCGATTCTGGCTCCGGTGCTGCCTCAGTCGAGCACGCGAGCACGGGCATGTTTCGCCGCAAGAGAGTGTGCTGGTCGGACAAGAGCTTCCCGTCGTCTGCCAGCGCCGCCGCGGCTCCTTTCGTCCCGTTCGGCAAAACATCCAAGTCGAGGCTGCCATGGCCACACGTGAAGCTCATGCTTCGGCGCCATCTATCTAGGAGCAAGGAGAAGGAATGGACGTCGTCACACCGGAAAGTTGATCTGCACCGAGGGAGCACTGGAGATGCAAGATGCATCTACCGAGGCACCGTGTGAGGAATGCACGCGGGGGTGCGGCGTCGATCGGCTCAACTGTCAACACGCACGCCATCAACCCGTCACCACGACGCCGGCGCGTTGAGCTACATGCATGCGGTGCATGTGTATTTGCACGCATGCTCACGTGCAAGCTAACAAGCCGTGAGAGGCGGCGATGGGCGCCAACCACCTCTCGCACATGGCGCCAATGAGGAGATCGATGGCTCAAGGGCACGGAGGAAGTGACGGCAAGAGGCTCCAACCAAGGCCTCGAGCGTGGCGGCCATGTGTGCGCGGGCCACGCATGAGGCCACGCAGCCCTCCACGCTGAAGGAAACGGAGCGCGAGTTCACGCCGGGGACGGACCTCCGCCGCTTCGGCGGCGGCGGCGCGCGGTGTGACCACGGCGAGGGGTGCACGGAGCTCCTATAGGTTCCCTACCAAGACCGGCGGCGCGCATGCGAGAGCCCATCACGCGCTCCTTCTCCCATGGCGCGAGAGAGCCCATCACGCGGCATCGGCCGAAAGTCGTGAGACCAAGGAGGCTCTGCTGCTTTGGCGGCTTCGGGGAGGGCGCCGACCAAGGAGGCGATGATGGTAGTAAAGATGCGTCGGCCGCCGCGGTGCTAGCGAGATGAACGGCCGGTTCCAACGGCTTCGCCGTCGTTCGAGCTCGGCCGAGCTCACGAGCGCGGTCTTTGGGATCCACCCGTGATTCGTGGCGGTCGGCCGGAGCTCATGAGCACGGTCTTTGGGATCCACCTCGATCCGTGATGGCCGGAGCTCGCGGAGCACGGTGCTGCTAATCTCACAGCCAGGACGCCGCCGACGAATCCCTTCCCGGCGAGGTCACGGCCGGTGCTCTGCTTTCCCGCTGCGTCGGGTGCCGCGGTCGCATCACCTTCGCCCTCCGTTCCCCTTCCTCTCTCTGAAACGGCGTCCTCCAAAAGTGTGAGGGTTTTTTTTAGAATGTGGCACGGGCACAGTGTTCAGCTGCCACCGTGGTGTGCCACGTCGGATGTTGGTGCTTGCGTGGCTGGTTTTGGACCTCTGGTGCACGGCGGTAATAGATGAGGGACTTAGATAGTCGCTTTTTTAGTTTGAGGACCCAGATGGGAATGCCCTAAAAGTTTAAGGACCCAGGGTGCATTTTACTCTTTTTGTGCCATCGCCCTCCATGTCGTGGCCAAAGATCTTGGACTCGGCTGATGGTGTGTGCCATGAAGGCGTTAAAAAGAAGTTGCAGTGTGTGTCTGTGTGATTTTTATTCTACAAGCCGAAGATCTCCACCTGGTCGGACTGCTCCAGCCCCTTGCCATGCCCAGCTTGGTGTGGGCTGAGGCTAACATAGCCACGGACTTTATCAAGGGCTTATCAGTGGTCCTCACGATGGTAAACCGCTTCTCCAAGTACGCACATTTTCTTCGCTCAGCTACCCCTACACTACGGTCTCCATCGCGCAGGTCTTCTTCGATAACATAGTGTGGCCTCAGGGGTTGCCGTGCTCCATTGTCAGTGACAGTGACCCTGCCTCTGGACAGAGTTGTTCAACTTCATGGGTGTCATTTCGAATCAGCACTGCTTTTCACCCCCAAACCGATGGCCAGCCAAACGTTACATATTGCACATTGGGCATGTACCTGTGTTTGCCTTGCTGGTGAGTGTCCTCAGAGCTGGCTTCAATGGCTTCCTAGGGCACAATATTGCTACCACACATCATTCCAAATGGCGCTGAAGACTACCCATTTAATGTGGTTTATGGTCAAGACCCACCTAAATTGATCTCTTATGATCCAGGGACTTGCTTAAGTGTTGTCCTTGGGACAAGCAGCTTGGAGCTCGTGGCATGTTTTTGGTGAAATCCATGACCATCTTGCCCATGCTCAAGAGCTGATGAAGTGCCAATATGACAAGGGCCACTGTGATGTGGAGTTTGCAGTTTGTGATTGGGTGTGGCTCCTTTTGCATCAGCGCATAGCCACAGTCATTACAGACAAATCAGCTGCTAAGTTGGCATCTAACTTTTATGGCCCCTTTCGTGTGGAGGAGCATGTCAGGTCTAAGGCATATCACCTCGCTCTGCCACCAAAGGCTCTTATTCATAATGTGTATCATGTGGTCTCTCTCAAGAAATATATTGGTGATTCTCCTCAGGAACAGGTGCAGCTTCCTCCCATCAAGCGTGGCCAAGTACTGCCAGTCCCTGCCAAGGTTCTTTGTGCTCGCCTCAACCGTGGCACATGGGAAGTTTCAGTTAAGTGGTTTGGTCGAAGTCAAGCTGAGACTACTTGGGAGGACTTGGAAGAATTCAAGGGGCAAATACCCAAACTTTTAGCTCGGGGACAAACTGTTTCCAGAGGATTGTGTTGTGGGCGCTTTCCTTGGAATACAATACCAGAGGCATTAGAAGAAGGCAGGCAAGTAGAAAACAGGTTAGAGATAGAGTCGGATTTGAAATTGTTGATTAAGTTAGCTAAAGTATAGGAGCTTTGTAAGCTTAAACGGATTGTAACTCGGCCAGCCCTATATATATATGAAGGGATGGCCAATTTGGGAGAAGGGAGGGTGAGTTTGTTTATCCTTGCCTACCCATTCTCATCTACTAGGCACAGAAAACTGAAAAATTCAAGGCGCCGATGCTTTGTTTGCTCAGCCTCATCTTTTTTTAAAGTAGAATGACATTAACAGTTGCAGCTAGATTTGCTTATCCTCTTACATGTTATGTAAAACAAATATTTTATGTACTCAAAGCATACCTCAAACAGTTGGTTTATATTATCAGCTGTCTTGGCTGACGTCTCAATGAAAAACATATTGTTCTTCTCTGCGTAGTCCTGTGCATCCTGCAACAAGTACACCATATGGTCGAAATCGCATAGCGATCATTAATACAATACCTATCAGTTGGCAATGAGTATATACTCTTACCTGCGAGGATACACTTCGATTATCATGTAGGTCAGCCTTATTCCCAACCAAAACCATTACAATACCAGGACTACCATGCTTCTGAAGTTCCTGCAGAATGGGGAAAAAAAAAGGAGTGCTGTATTTAATCCTCAAACCAAAAACAGGCTACAAACCATAATAGAATTTCAGACCACTAAGATTGAATATAATCACCGAGTCAATTGCTAAAGATAAATATTCAAGGTGCATGATCATTTCTAAGTTCTAATGTTGCTCAGGTACGATCAGTTGAATATCATATGATAATATCCAGGTCAATCTGTTTCTAATCTGTACTAGTGTTTTAGGTACCTTATTACATCAGTGTTTCAAGCAGAAGCACAGACTGGTAATAGGGAATGGGGAGAAAACCAAGCATAATAATAACTCAGAAGTGTAGAGGGTTGCTGGTTTACCTTTACCCAATACTGTGCTTTGCTAAATGATTCCGGACTCGTTATATCGTAGACAACAATTGCAGCAGCAGCTCCTCTGTAGTAAAGTGGTGCCAAGGCAGCATACCTGAAATTGACCGGCTGTCAATTCTCGTGACTTCTTGATTCGGGCAAAAACATGTATGTGCATGCAAAGAAAGATGGATCAAATGTGCATACAATAGTATCGAAAATCTTCTGACTACGTGCTGCAAAGTATCCCAAATTAGTTATCTAAAGTAAGTACTGGTTTCAACATAGAGAAGTACAAGGTGGCAAAGAAGACTGCAAAGCGAGCTGTAAGTGTGGCAAAGGGTAGAGCGTACGAGGATCTTTACCAACATTTGAGTACGAAGGAAGGAGAGAATGACATTTATAGGATGGCTAGGGTTCGTGAGAGAAAGATAAGGGACTTCAAGCAAGCTAAGTGCATTAAGGATGAAAGGGAGCATCTCTTGGTGAAGGAGGATGAGATCCGACATCGATGGCAAGAATATTTTGACAAATTGTTCAATGGTGAGAATACGGACACAACCTTTCAGTTGGATGACTCTTTTGATGACACCAATAGGCGCTTTGTGTGGAGAATCCAAGAATCTGAGGTCAGAGAGGCATTGAAAAGGATGAAAGGAGGTAAGGCGATGGGACCGGATGGGATCCCAATCGAGGTGTGGAGATGCCTCGGGGACATAGCTATAGTATGGCTAACCAAGTTGTTCAACCATATTTTTCGATCGAACAAGATGCCTGACGAGTGGAGAAGTATATTGGTACCGATCTACAAGAATAAAGGGAATATTCAAAGTTGTACTAATTACCGGGGAATTAAGTTGATGAGCCATACTATGAAGCTATGGGAGAGAGTTATCGAGCATCGCTTGAGAGCAATAACGCGGGTCTCTATGAACCAATTTGGTTTCATGCCCGGAAGGTCAACCATGGAAGCCATTTTCTTAATAAGACAAGTTATGGAACGGTATAGGGAGAAGAAGAAAGACTTACACATGGGTTTTATTGACTTAAAGAAGGCTTATGATAAAATACCAAGGAATGTTATGTTGTGGGCTTTGGACAAACATAAAGTCCCAACAAAGTACGTCGGGCTCATTAAGGACATGTACAATAATGTTGTGACTAGTGTTCGAACAAGTGATGGAGACACGGATGACTTCCCGATTAGGATAGGACTATATCAAGGGTCAGCTTTGAGCCCTTATTTGTTTGCCTTAGTGATGGATGGGGTTACAAGGGACATACAAGGGGACATCCCTTGGTGTATGCTTTTCGCGGACGATGTAGTGCTAGTTGATGAAAGCCGGACAGGAGTGAATCAGAAACTAGAGTTATGGCGGGAGACTTTGGAGTTCAAAGGTTTTAGACTCAGTAGAACTAAAACTGAGTATATGAGATGTGACTTCGGCACTACTACTCGGGAGAAGGAAAATATTAGTTTGGAATGTCAAGTAGTGCCTAGGAAGGATACCTTTCGATATTTATGATCAATGCTACAGAGAGACGAGGATATTGATGAAGATGTTAGCCATAGAATCAAAGCAGGGTGATGAAGTAGCGCCAACCATCTGGTGTCCTATGTGACAAAAGGGTACCACAGAAGCTAAAAGGCAAGTTTTATAGGACGGCGATTAGAACTGCTATATTGTATGGTGCAGAATGTTGGCCTACGAAAAGACGACATGTTCAACAGATAAATGTCGCGGAAATGCGTATGTTGCATTGGTTTTGCGGTCATACAAGAAGGGATCGAGTTCGGAACGATGATATACGTGATAGATTAGGAGTAGCACAAATTGAAGAAAAGCTTGTCCAACACCGGTTGAGATGGTTTGGATATGTCCAACGGAGACCTCCAGAGGCACCGGTGCGTAGTGGAATCCTAAGCCAGGATAGTAACGTGAAGAGAGGCAGAGGCAGACCGAAGTTGACTTAGGTAAAGGCAATAAAAGGAGACTTGAAAGGATGGAATATATCCAAAGACTTAGCCTTAAATAGGAGTGCTTGGAAAACAGCTATTCACATGCATGAACCTTAATTGCTTCTGCTGGGTTTCAACTCTAGCCTACCCCCAACTTGTTTGGGACTTAGCCTACCCCCAACTTGTTTGGGACTTAAAGACTTTGTTGTTGTTGTTGTAAGGTAAATACTGGTTTACAACACCAAATTACCTCTCTTGCCCAGCAGTATCCCAAATTTCAAACTTCACTATTGTTGAATCTTCCAATGCCAATGTTTGTGATAAAAAAGATGCACCAACAGTTACCTGTAACCATTTGAGAATATAAGTTGGGGAGTGGAAATGCTGCAACTGAAAGTAAAGTTTCATTCATGGCTCGATCTGATCAAAACAGGAAATCACCTTGGAAGTAGGATCAAACTGACCACGAACAAAGCGAAGAACTATACAGCTTTTCCCAACACCTGAGTCTCCCAGCAATACCAGCTATTACAGGAAAAGGTTGAAAACATTAAACAAAGTCATTAATCAGGTTTTACTAGATAAATCAGTGTGTTGATATGCTTGGTAGGGCCACTGATGCGATGAATGCATTAACTTCTATACCAAAAGTGTTCAATTGTCCATATATACACTACACTTATGTCCCTGCTTCTACTTCTAAGCTAGAAATAAAGCATAGTAACAAAAAAGAAACACAAGCTCGAAATTTAATAGCCACTATAACAAGCAATATATTTTGGGGGTAGTTGAAATTTTGATTCCATGGAAATTGTAAAAACCAATACAGCACATAAGGCAGTGTGTTTGGCATACGCTCATGTGAAGAACATACAAAAAGGTTGAATGCGGCACAATGCTTGCATGTGGCACCTTGTTGAAAAAAAAAAACATCCACCATGAAAAAAAAAGCTGTGTATGTACATATATCGCTTATGGTAGTTAAAATGATGCCCTAACATATTAAGTATACTGAATTCTAGATCACAATCATTGTTAATGAGCAGAAACAGACAAATGACAACCTGCTGAGAATATAGGTATTGCAATATGCAGATTCACTGGGTAAGATCCCAAAAACCCTTGCCAGGGATGAAATGTTAAGCAATTGCATTGCATGATATACAGCATCAAAGTATCTGAGCATTAAGAGCATACTAGACAAGTTTCAGTACATATACGACGCCTTTATGTGCTTTTAAGCATTTAAATAATTTTCCGTCCATGGCTGCTATCAAAATTCTTCGCTAGAGCATCTAGGGAAGGTGACCCTAAATATACAGCTGACATGCTAGTACCACAACCAATGCTAAGCCAAGAGAAGCAACCAAAAGAAGCAAAAGAAAATATGAAATCAACCACCATAATAACAAAAAGGTAAAGAGGGTGGAGTTTGGCTAACCTTAGCACGCAAGTCCTTTGAATCAGTGGCAGGAGAGCTATCGTTGCTGATAGTGTTCAGCCCTCCAGTACTTCTAGCTGAAAATGGGAAAAAACATACTGCGTTAGTGTTATATACCTAGACATTACCTAATTTGACTATCCTCTGCTCGAACTGTATGATCCCCAACCACATATCACATTTTTCTACACCTTGTTGTCACATTAAATCCCCAAATTAACTAAAGATTAACTAAAGAAACAACTAAGTCCACCACCGCAGTACATACTTAGCCAGGTTTCATGAACACGGTCTTTCTTTTTTGGTGGCGATGAGCATGCAACCGCCACTTCCAATCAATCCAATCCAAATAATCTACAAAGCACAGCTCAAAACCCTAAAAACACAGCACGAACTGAGTGAATTCGTGTCTTAAACCACTACACATCAAACCCTGCTAACCTTTTATTCTGTCCCCTCCGGCCACTAATTGAAGACAAAATACAGCAATCCTATACCGGAACCTTCGAACTTTTAAGACTCGAGGAAATAGGCTCGAACCTGGTACGGAGGAGGAGCAACCCATAGCTCACGCTGTCCGCCGGCCTCGACGGGGCTAGCGCACCGTGGCACGAGCGCGGCGACCGGCGGGGAAGGGGGGATCGGGCCTTTGCCCTGCCTCCGGCTCCGAGTAGATCCGCCGCAGTTTTGTCCTTTCTCGTCGGTGGTCTGGGCTCTGATGAATCTCGTTGTCGTTGCGATGCACGCGCGACGCGTTGCTGTTGCTCGGGGTCGGGGAAAGCCAGGTCGTTGGGGGCAACGGGGCGTTGGGCACTCGGGCGTCATGGGTCGGCTTGTCAGTGGACGATCTGAGAGAGGTGCAAAGTTTACCCACGGTGTTTGGGCCGGGCTGTATTGCTATAATGGGCCTCATGCATTCTGGCGTGATTAGGCCTTTTTGTGATAGTGATGCGCAAGTTGTTTTCCTTTTCTGGAACTATTTTTTTCTTCTTGTTTTTCCTAGAAAAACCGTGTATATGATAGATAGATCATTTAGGAGCATATTTAAGAGCACCCAATATTTTCTTAAAAAACATGGAGTTTTACAACTCCTAAAAAGTATTGAAAGGAATAAAGAAAGCTATCTCCAAAAGTTTCTAATAATAATCAACTCCTCAAATATAGAAGACAATTTTACATCAGGAATTCTATACTATTTATGAATTATCCTCACCACTTTTATATATTCTTTCTTTCTTATACATTTGTATCAGGAACCTTTTCCTACTATTTATTCTTTCCACGTCCTTTTACCTTTAGATTGGCCAACAAACACGGGCGAGGAGAGAAGATACGCGTGACTCGTAAGCGCGTAACTTTACGCGGAACGCGGAACAAGGTGATTTTCCTAAGTTCTAAAAGATAACAGGGTGATTTTTCTAAATTCTAAAAGATTAGGAGGATGGATTAGGAGTTATTGGAGAATATTTTTTTATCTTGCTAAAAAACAAGAATTAGAAAGGGATCTACGGAACTCTGGGTCTAACAGTAAATACGAGTACTTGTGTACACTTCGATACCTTAACTTGAGTGGATAGGTAAACAACCTAACTAATCTATGCTACCAATGGTATTTTTGTTAATCAGAATTTGTGAAAAGAAATATCATAACTGAAGAATCCATAGCGCCCTGTTTGTTTGGGCTTGTTTGGCTGATAAGCCATGGCTGAAAGTACCGTTGGCTGATTTGGTGTGAGAAAAAAATATTGTTCGTTGGCTGATAATCCATGGCTTATAAGTCAAATACAACTAAGTGAACAGACTGCTAGATCGATGAGAAACACAAGAGGTTCATTGTTCTCGACTTTAGTTGAAACCGAAAGCTGAAGAATCAAGATAAGTATGACATCGCTGTTTTCGAACTGCTAGGCATTTCTCATGTTCTCTGCAACTTTCGACTGGGCTTACAGGAAGTCAGGTGATGACGGGGGTGTTTAAATTCAGGGGATAAAGTTTAGAGGTGCCACGTTAGGTATTACACCGGGTGTCACATCAAGTGTTTGGATAGTAAGAATAAAATAAATTACATAAGTTCTCAGTAATCCACGAGACGAATTTATTAAGTCTAATTAAACCGTCATTAGCATATGTCTACTGTAGTACCACGCTGTCAAATCATGAACTAATTAGACTTAAAAAATTCATCTCGTAAATTAATCTCAAACGGTGTATTTAGTTTCATAATTAATCTATACTTAATAGTTCATACATGTGTGAAACATCCGATATCACTTGCTTCGGGAGGAAATTCTCCTGCACATTCTTTCATATCTGCTTGTTTTCTCTCTCTCTCTGTTTGAGTGAAGATGCAAAATGCAGTGCAAGCTCTGCAACACAGCAGCACTCCTTTTCCTTTTCCCTTAGGTCTCTGCGACTGCTGTGCGAAACTGCCTGCAAACTTGATGAAACTTCACTGATCTGGCGAAACTTTCATCTGGATGTACGCATTCGTCTCCATGCCTCCATTCATTGCTACCCTCGTGGTGGAACTCAACTGAACAAGGCAGCCGTGCAAGCAACTAACCGTGCATGTGCGCAAAGCAACGGAGGTCGATTGCAAAGTTGACCTGCAGCAGCGCCCCTCCGGTTCGTGCTCCGGCTGTAAAGGCAAAGGGGCTGGCTGCACTGTCCGTAGTGTGCCCGTGCAGGAATGTTTCTCTCTTTCGCTTTCCTTCTAGTGCAGCCAGCCTCGTCTGCCCCCAGCCCTGCATTCGGCATGCCTGATGCGTCTGAGGAAATAGAGGACAAGCAAAAGCAGCTCTGAATTTGGGAGCAGGGATGTGACGTGCCAAGAGCCCAAAGAGAGGTGGTGGTCCATGCAGGCATGCAGCACAGAACACACTTTCTCCTTTGCCTTTCCTAAAGGGGCTCCAATTTTATTTTGTTGTTGCAAGAAAAGGAGGGGTAGGTTATTTTATAGGTAGACTTCTTTTCCAATCCTGAACTGTTGGGTTCTGAAACCCAGAACTAAAGTCCAACTGATGATCATGCATCCATGCTTGATGCTTGGTGCTGTACTGTACCTCACAGCTATTGAGTCAGATTAGCAAGATCAGGTTAAAGGTGGTGTTACTGCTAAGGGGGTGTTTAGTTCCCATGGACTAAAATATTTGGTACTAAAATCTGCATTTTAGTTGGACTAAACAGCGACTAAAAGTGGACTAAAGTCCTTTAGTCCTTTAGTCCGTAAAACTGGACTAAAATGGACTAAAAGGTGTTGGGGACACCCGTGCCCCTCATTTATTGTCCTCTCTCTCACATGATAAAAGAGTGGGTAAAAAGATCTTTCTTCCACATCATTTAATAACTTTAGTCCATTTTAATTCAAGAAACCAAACACCACTTTAGTCCGTTTTTAGTTCATGACTAAAGTGGACTAAAATTTTAGTCCATGACTAGAGAACCAAACGGGCCCAAAAAGTCTAAGTCGTTGGTTTCGTGCAAGATTTTGCTGTTCTACACGTATCTAAGGTCTTTGTAGAATTGTAGTTGCTGGTGGTGCCCTCGTCAGTGAAACGGATGGTTGGAAATCTCTGGTTCACTTGCCAACTGATCTTTTTACCAAGCTAACTATGGGCCCGTTTAGTTTCCAAAAATTTTTGCGCAGTACCCATCACATCGAATCTTGCGGCACATGCATGGAGTACTAAATGTAGACGAAAAAAAACTAATTGCACAGTTGGGTGAGAAATCACGATACGAAACTTTCGAACCTAATTAGTCCATAATTAGACACTAATTATCAAATACAAACAAAAGTACTACAATAGCCAAAATCTAAAAATTTTGCATCTAAACGCGCCCTATATTATTGTATTTGGTAGAGAGACAATGATGTACGGAGTAAGGTGGTTGTTTCACTTGCAAGTTACCAGCTCCAATTACCAGGTCACCTAAAAGTTAGTAGTTGAAGTCACTAGAACCAAAAGCTAGCGTGGCATGAGATGTGGCCACTCAAATCACCACCAAACCAGACCTCGTGGGACACTGCTGTCCAGTCCTGCGCCAGAATGGAAGGAGCTGTCCCAGAGGCCAGAGTAGAGGTAGCACTTGGCAGAGCAAGAGAGCAGCGCCCATCATCATATGCAAATTGTCCAATGCCAATGGCTGCAGCCTGCAGCCGTCTGGAGTCAGGGAAAATGGTACGAGCAAGAGGACAGGTGTGTGAGCGCGTGTCTAGTTCCCACCCCAAATTCCTAAAAAGTGCTATAATAGTTATCACATCGAATCTTGCGATACATGCATGGAGTATTAAATGTATACGAAAAAAAACTAATTGCACAGTTTGATTGAAAATTACGAGACGAACGTTTTAAGCATAATTAGTCCATGATTGAATATTAATTGTCAAATAAAAACAAAAGGGCCGCAGTAGCCCAAATTCCAAACTTCCCCAAACTAAACACGGCCTGAGGTGGCAAAGCAAAGGATTAAAGGACTCAAGCACGTGGTTAGGCCTTCCCAACGTTCTTTTTTTTTACTAGTAGCCCTAAATAAGGTGCTCTACACTTGTCATAGTGGTTTATAGAAACTAAGTATGATTGGAGAGAGAGAAAGTGGTCCATGCTAAAAAAGAAGAGGGAGAGGAAATAAAGGTGAAATATGATGAAAGAAATTTTTTTTTTGCAAACCACAAGTAATAATAGTTTGCATTATGTGAATAGTATTCTCAACATTTTCTAATATATGTGGATCACTTTATTTATACTATAATCATTAATAGTGTTAGCTTCTTGTGGTGCTTAAGGACCCACCCAAAAGGCAGGAACAGTCTTGTTTGTTTGCTTCATGTCTTTTGATAGATAGATTCCCTTGTGATCCCATGTTCTTTTTCTTTTTAACATGACAGCTACGTAAGTTTTTTTTTTAAGAAAAAGAGCAAAGCTGAGAGGCGAAAGATAAATAAGAGGAAAAATTTCAGAATAAAGACGAAAAGGGCAAAAGGTCAGCACAAAGCTTAGGCGGGAGTTTACATGGACCAAGTGCTGTTGCGATGTCCGGTCATAGCATTTTCTTAGCTAGCTCTCCAGCCGTCCAATCCGATTATATATTAAATTTTAGCACATATCAAATGTTTAAACAAGCAATTTTACCTGAAAACTATACAATCCGATCGAATCAAATCCAGCACGTACGGTACGGAGCAAGGTCGGTCGATGTTTCGATCTCCTCATCCAGCGTTCTGTTTTTTTTCTTTTGGAATAGTTCAACAGCACATACAATACAAATTCGAACTTTCAACAAAAAAGATACAGTTCCCATCTCTTTCTGCGGAACAGTATACAATTCTTTTGTGAACAGAAGAAAATACTCCGTCCAACAGCACGGTTGTTACTTCGATTCTATCCAAGTCCCATATGTGACTCGGACGCTCTGACCTACCAGAGCCCGTGCTCATTTGAATGATAATGTCCCTGTTCGTTTGAGCTACTTTTCAGCTATGGAACAGTACTTTTCTCTTACAATATTTTAGCGTAAGTATCAGCATAAATAATAAACTAAATTTCAGCATAAACGAACAGAGCCATTATTCTGTCTGGCTTGAGCCTGCAGCAGCGACGGATCCAGGAAATATTTAAGGGGGGCTGAACAACACGGCTGCTCGATCTTAAGTCTCAGCCCCCCTACACTATAGAACTTTGCCTAAAAATTTATAGGGGCTATACAGTAATCTGCACTGATTCGGTAATCTGCCCTGATTCGGTATGGGTAGGGCCCCCCCCCCCCTGCTGGATCCGCCCCTGGCCTGCAGCACACAGGATCTGAACGAGATGGAGACGCTATCCTCCTCACCGTCACGGGGCTCGGCGTTGGCGAGCACATAAATATCATTTTGTGTGTAATTATTATAGTTCCAAAAGCAGTCCAGAACCCAACGACCAAAATGCAGTGCAGTCAAAATGATTTCCGGAGGGCTTCTTCCTGGTTTCCTAAACCACGAGACCCGGGATTTCCGTTGGCAATTGGCATGTGCCAAAGCCAAACCAAACCTAGAACATCGAGTCATCAGATAATTAAGCGAGCTAAGCGGGCCGACAAGAGACACGTGGCCAGTTGCTGCTCGAACGGGATTAGGTCGATCACGCAGCACTTCCAGAAGAGATCCCAATGGACTTACTAAATTGAATATTCTTGTTATGAAGCCTATACAAAGTCCATATTGCTGACACGGTGCTTATGCAAACATCATAAAAAAAGTTTTCTTAGCTTATATTATATAAGCTACAGTAGGAATATTCCTGGTCAAACGTATACCGCCCGAGGGGGGAAAAAAGAGCAGGCGAGAGGCGATGACAGAGTTTCTGGTACTCTGATGCGTGTGTTCTTTCGTGCATTTGGCACCGTCTCGACGACGCATCAGCAGCTGCATGATGCTTAGTAGATTATTGAAAGGCCACGATGATTATTGATTATACAATATAGCCGGACAATTGCGAATGGATAGGGCGCGTGGTTTACATGCCGGATTAGCTCCATTGCTATACGCAACAAACTTTGTGTTGGAAAATGCTTCCTAAATGTCTGCGAGCTTACGCCAACCAGATCTAAGCGACACTCCACGCAACGGGCGGAACTGGAACCTGGAACTCTGTTCATCGATCAGAAAATCAAAGTGACAAACCTGTTTCTGATCAGAAAAGCAAACACAGAGGACCGTGCCAGTCCGGACATGGGATTTGGAATTTGTAATCAGACGACCTTCAAATTTCCTTTTTGAATCAGACAGTCCCAATCTGAATACGCACCTACAATCAGGCAGAACCAGAGAAATTGTCCCAAGGAGAGAGACCATTACCATCCCTTGCCCTGGCGTGACGTCACAGCGCCATCGTTTGGCTTATAAGCCGTACTTTTTTAGTCAACGAACAATATTTTTCTTTCACAATAAATCAGCCAACAATACTTTCAAATGTGGCTTATCAGTAAAATGAACAGGGCATATGTGATAATAACCATTTCAACGTCCACGCCTAAGAGCCCTGGTCGCAGTCCAGTAGTCCACGCAATCGCAGGCTAGCTACGAGAAATAAACGTTTTGTTTGTATCCCTGGTCGACGAAACCGCGACGGACGAATAGAACAGAAGTATGCAAGACCCTGCCGTGTTCGCTGGGATGGTTGGTGGTTGTCGTGCCTGCCACAAGCCCGTAAGGGAGGCATGAAAAATGCGTGCGAAGAGCGCACGCAAATGGAACTGGAAGCCCCGTTTCCCGTCCGGATAACGCCTCGGAAGCACTGTGACATCAGAAATTGTGATCCCGTCGTGCAAGCTACCGACACGATTCGTCGGTTCAAACACGGTCAAAACCAGTTTATCACTGACCTTCTTGCCGATAGTCGCAGTAGTACATACAGTATTTTTTTTTGGGTTCCAGATCGCAGGCAGGTCTCAAAACGCAGTGACTAGTAGTACCGAACCGCGAGGTCTTCCGTACCGAATATTTGAGAAGATGAAGACTTCAAACAGGCTTTGTGAAATTGTGATTCACCGCGTGGTAAAAGGAAAATCTTCCTTCCTTGCTCGGTCCCCAAACGTCAAAAGAAATGTGAACCAGCGTATAATACGACGGCACGGCCGCGGAACAGCAGGCCTTGGAATGTCTTTATCAGCACCGACATTTTAATTACTGCCTGTGATCTAGGAGTACTAGTATCGCTAGATTACCATCCATCATTATCAGAGGAAAAATATCGAAACAATCTGCATCGTATTGTCCGATGGCAAAGAGACGGATGGCACGGCGAATTTTGTAAGCCATCTTCATGTCGTTTTCGGTTCCACGTCGGAGTCGAGAGAGACGAGGCCAAATTTGCAGCCACGATGAATCTGACTCCCTCCCTGGCATAGTAAACGACGCTGATATTTTAAATCAGTGGCGTCTGGAGAATTCATTGTCAACCAAGAACCGCGCACATTAATGGATTTTGTTTAATCGTCCAATTAATCGCTGAACCGAACGCCATAACTTAGATTAGGAAACGGCTAATTCTAAAAAAAGATTAGGAAACGGCTACGACCACAAATGACAAACCAGTCCACGATTCAACGTCTGATTCAAAATTTCACTACCAACTCAACCAATGAAGTTGAACAAGCGTTCATCAGAAGACGATAAGAACGAAAGGATTAAACAAATGAAGCAAAATTTCATCAGAAAAATAATCCTAGAGCTCTGGACTAAGGCTGAATCCTCATTGACGACGATATGTACAGGTCGAGTTTTTTTTCCCGGCCGGACTGCTAAGGTTAAATTAAAGCTGACGACGGATCAGTGAGCTCGCTGACGCAACCAAGGGACACCCACCGGCGGCGGCGTCGTCGTCACATCACGGAGCAGGCGTTGGGGTTCTCGTCGCTGAAGAGCTGCGGCGGCGGCGCCATGTCAAAGCGGTACGGGTACGGCGGGTACGTCATCTGCGGCTGCTGGCTGCCGTCGGGCTGCTGCTGCTGCGGTTGGGGGTAGTAGGAGGGGTTGGCGTGGCCCATGCCGTCGCCATTGCCGTAGTACGGGTAGGAAGGGTAGTAGGTGGCGGGGGGCGGGGCCTGCTGGTACGCCACGTACCCGTACGGCGGCGCCACGTGGTACGTGCTCGCCCCCGCCGGCGCAGCCATGAACGCCGCGGCGGCCGCCGTGGACGGACCCGCCGACACGTCGATCCCTTTGCCCTTGTCTTTCTTGTCGTCACCGCCCGCCCCGGCCCCGACCGCGCCCTTGTTCTTGTCGCCGCCGCTGCCGCTGTCTTTCTTGTCGTCCTTGCCCTCGCCGCCGCCGCCGCCGCCGTCTTTCTTGGCGGGCGGCGCCACGGCCTCCACGTCGCGGTTGAGCTTCTCCTTGAGGTAGGTGAGCATGTTGGGGATGTCCATGGTGCCCGTGACCTTCACCTCGTCCTTGGCATTGCCCACCAGGACCACATCCTTCACGCCTGCACCGACCAAAACCAAAAGCGTCAGTTCTGGAGCCGTGCAGTTCAGCGAAATTATAACAGAAAAAACAGGATGCGAGTCCTGAGACGATGTGAGAGGGACACACAACAAACCAACAGAATTTTTCTGCTCACCTTTGATCTTGTAGATGCGTCGCCTGATGCGGTCGGCGCAGCCGTCGCAGTGGAGGTGGATCTTGACCAGCACCGTCTCCTGCGGAGAACCAAAAGCAGAGGCGTTTTTTAGTTGCTGCTGCTGCTGCAGGTCAGAAGAGTAGTTGGGTTGCGTGGGCGGCATTGCCTGCCGCGTACCGACCTGCTTGGGTTTCTTCTCCTCCGCCTGTTGCTTCTTCTCCTTCTCCTTCTCTTTCTCTCGCGCCTTTGTGGCGCTCTCGCCGGTTTGGCGTCCTTCTTCTCGCGGCGGGCTTTGGGGCGCCGCCGGCGGAGACGACCTCCACGGGCTTGCTGGTCTTGGCCTCGAGCCGCGCCTTGAGCGCGCCCGCGTCGGCCGTCCCCGCCACGACGACCCTGTTCGCCGCGACGTCCGTCACGATCGACTCGACACCTGCCAGCGACAAGAACCGGTGAATCAAACCAAGAACAAACAGAATTGCAGAACCACGCGCGAAACGAAGGTTGCCGCGGCGAGAGCACGTACCAGGAACGCGCTTAATAGCCTTCTTGACCTTGTGCGCGCAGCCGGCGCAATGCAGGTCCATCTTCAGCACGACGGGCTGCGCGGCCTCGGGCATCGCCGCGGCTGCCTCGCCGCCGCCGCCGCCTCCTCCTTTTCCCGCACCCATGGACCGAGACCGAGACTGGACTGGACTCCGCTCCGGATCGTCTGTCCCTTCTGCTGGTGGATGTGCTTCTTCTTCTCACCGTGATTGTGCACTTGTGCGTGGCTGTTGGTCTGACGAAGAGGAGAGGAACCAGAAGACGGGCGCGGGCGGCGATAAATAGGAGGCGGGGCGCCCCGCGCCCGCGCGTGGGGAGGGGAGGAGGAGAAAGGAAAAGGAAGTGAGGGAGGTGGGGCCGCGGGGTCAGCCGGTGCTGATCCGTATCCGCGTCGGACAAAGTGACGCCCCGCCGTCTGCCGCGGGGTTGCAGTCTTGTAGAAGGCGGTAAGGAGTACGTATCTTCGGCTAGTCCATTTTGTATGTTTGACAGGAACTGCACATGTACTGCCACCAACTACTACGTGGTAGGAGTACGTACATCTTTTCATGTCCAAAAATCTTGTAGGTAGTGATATTTGCTTGGCACCGAAGACACCTTGCATTTCCTCCCGCGAAAAAAAAGAAACCGAATGTACGAGCGCTCAAGCACTCAGTTACTGAGGCATTGTTTAAATCGGATGTAAAGTTTTATGATGTCATGTCGGGTATATATAAGAGTGTCGTATGAGTATTTAGATATTAATAAAAAAATAAATTATAGAATCCGTCAGTAATCCATGGGATAAATTTATTAAGCCTTATTAATCCATCATTAGCATATGTATTACTTTAGCATTACATTGTTAAATCATAGACTAATCAGGCTTAAAAGATTCGTCTGATAATTAGTCGCAAAGTATATAATTAATTATTTTTTTAATCTATATTTAATACTCCATATATATGTCCAAATATTCGATGGGATAGAAAGTAAACTTTAGGAGAAAGAACTAAGCAAGGCCTGAGTTACTGCATGTTGTGAATATTTTTTTATTCGAGGTACTTCTCTTTAGCCAGGCGATCGATTGCTATTCTTCTCCTTGTACTTTTTTTGAACTAAATGTTTTCCTGATCTTAGTATTATTATTTTTCTATTTCTATATATACTTGGCAGTTCCATGCTCTGCGATGTGACCACTAGCTAATATACGTATAAAGGAAAGCAAAACTGCAAAGGCACAGATGCACAAACTTAGGCAATCTTATCGCCACTCGATCGGATATATTTAGAAGAACTATTTAAAAATCTAAAATAGCATTTTTCTCTCTTCAATAGTATCCTTCCTCACGTTTTGCAAACCAAACGAGCCATATTTAGAAGAAAAAGAATAGCATCTCTAAGAGATCCAAAATGATAAAAACTAGCATTTTTCAATAGTTCATTTTCATAAAAATATAGTGCCTCAATTTCGCAAATAGATATTTTGTCAAGATTTTCGTCAAAGAGGCCCTTCATATCCTTCCTACGTGATAGAAATAGAGATTTTGATGAAAAACCACCTTCCAATAGTTTATCATTCAAATATAGCTGTCTTCTATTTCGAATTTTTCGCTAGCTAAAAATAAAAAATGAGAATGACTCTCTAGAGTGTGTATGAGATATAGAAAAGCTGTGGGAGAGTAAAAAGATATAGAAAACGATTTTTATATAAATAACTCTCTAAATAATAATTTAGAAAGTAAGATTTAAAAAGACTTTCGGAAATGCTCTCATCGACGAGCTGGGAACACAATACGAGTAGTAGTAGTTTCTTACCGCGTCTACTGCCCTTTCCGCCTTTTCCTACTAGCATTTGCTCCGTTCCTCGTGCGCGTGGACATGGCGATTCTGCCGATGGCGTGATGCGGACGATGACGAAACTTGCCATGCCCAGCCCAGGAGGACGGTGACGTCTCGTCGCCGTCTCGCAGAGTCGCAGACGCAGACGCCTGGAGCGCGGAATCGAACGACGGCTTCCCAACCGGCTTTCGCTTGAACTGGGTCGGAACCTGCCCGGCTCGATTCCTTTTGGGCCAAACAACGCGGATCTCAGCGTGGGCTACACGCTTCCAGATGGCGCGTCCATCAGTGATCCAGTTTGTACTATAGCGGCGTGCCAAGCAAGTGGTTGTTGGTCAAGGTGAAATTCCATCTTGTTTATAGGTGGGCCATGCTGTAGAATTACTGTAGATAGTAGGCTACTGGTATATGTGTTTATGTGGGCTGGGCCAATCTGTTGTTGGTGGCCGCGTTCGCGGCCTGCACGCGGCCTGCCACGGCGCGGGGGCGGCTGCGTTGCGCGACGCCTTCGTCGTCTCGTTCCCATCCATGCGCAACCGCCAAAAATGCTGCGCCTCTAAAAGGCGAAGGAACGCGAAACAAACGGCGCAAATTCAGAAAAGAAAATTCGAGGTCCCGTGCCTGCCCGCTCTCTCGACGATTTCCATCTCTCCCTCCCTTTTGCCCCCTCCCTCTTCTTCTCTTCCATCCTTCCTCCCTCCGCTTGCTGTCTCCTTGCCTTAGGGTTTCTCCAGCTCCGCGCTCCGCATCGCTCCCTACCTCGCCGATTCCGCGGCCCCGATTCGCGCGATCTCCGTGCGGCCATGGTCTCCGGCGCGGCGCACAACCCGGACGGGGGCGGCGGCGCCCAGGCCACCCAGCGCCCTCCGCCGCCTCCTCAGGTGGGGGCCCGGACGGCCCTCGCCACGCCGCCGCCGTTCTCCGGCGGCGCCGCGCACTCCGCGTCTACTGGTGGGGGCAGCGCCGGCTCACCACCGTCCAGCCGCAGCGAGCAGCACGCCCCCGACGGTGCTGGCAAAGGTCTTGCCCTCGGGGCTGCGCCCGCGGCGGCGGCGGTGTCCACGCCGGCCAGCGACAGCACGTTCCTCCGCTTGAACAATCTCGACATCAACGGCGACGACGCGCCATCGTCGCAGGCTCCTACGAGGTTGGTTTGTTGAAACTTGTGTCGGATGGCTATATTATTATAGGTCCGGTTCACGTGTGGCGCGAATGCTAGTCTGTGCAGCTGTATTTGCCCGTTATTCGAACCATGGGGTGCTTTGGTTGCTGCGCGGTTATGTTGGGGATAGGCATCGATACAGACATACAGTGTGTCGACCATGAGAAAGGTTGTCCTGGAGATACAGGAAACATACTGTGGGAGGTTGCTCATTCTGTGTACTAGTAATGTGTGTGTCATGACGAACTGTTACCTGTTGTTATTTGGACGAGCATGCCTGGTGAAGTGTCTTCTGTGGTCATTTTCATGTCTGCAAGCATGATTTTACTCAAAAGAATGTACTACCTCCCGTCTTGTAGGTTTGGCTTCCTAATTGTGTCAGCCTTGCTAGCAGTGACGGAGCTTGCATTAAAATAGTGGGGGGGGGGGGGTTATTTTTTGTGTAATCATCAATATGCACACAAGCTTGGAGCCTCCGAGTGTCAGGCAGGGCCAAGGGGGCGATTGTGGCCATGTGTTTTGTGCGCTTCTGTAATTTGGTCCTTCCCAATCGGAAGCACAAGAGGCAAGAGCAACAGGTCAGCAGCTACGTCGTAGCATTGTTTAGGCCTTAGTTCTGGTATGCCTGGAGTCACTGAAAAATATTTGGATGCCCGGGGGTGGTGGTGGTGGTGGTGTGGGGGGGGGGGGGCATCGCCCAGGTTGGCCGAGCTGTAGCTTCGCCAGCGCTTGCTAGATAAGATGAACTTTGTAAATGGCGGACTGACTGCAATGTATCGTCTATTTGAAGTATGCACCCATGTTGAGCTGTTATATCGGCCATATGGCGTATTGTTCTACAATCCTGTACTGCATAGATTGAACCTAACAGTTAGCAATAACATCATATTTTTGCTAGCATTCATGTGGTTTGTCTCGTCTTACGATGTAGCTGTTTGTAGACAGCCTACACAGACTCTTGTGTAGACACAGTTAATTATTATAGTAAATAGGTTGAAAGTTCATAGCGGGAGTTCCCACTTCTTAAGACTCTCTTTTGTATCCTTTCTTTTAGTTACTTATCTAAGCTTTTGGGGCATTGTAAAACTGCAGCAAGAAGAAAAGGAGAGGCACACGGGCAGTGGGTCCTGATAAAGGTAACCGAGGACTGCGCCAGTTTAGTATGAAAGGTGAGGCTATTTTTCCCCTTCCATGTTATACTTCTATATGACAGTTATCTTTGGAAAGTTAAGATAGGAGCATAGTGCAAATGTAAACATTTGGGCAGTTAAAGTATGCCATCTGTGTTTCCATCACATCAGTGCATCCATTTCTTGATACATTTGAAGGCTACATGTATAGTGAATGGTACAGTAAAGCAGTGAATGCATAATATCATAGGTGACTTAATGCGTGTTTCATTTGTTCCTTTGCAGTTTGTGAGAAAGTTGAAAGTAAAGGGAGAACAACATATAATGAGGTCAGTGCCTTTTCATTATATTATCCCATTTATTCTTCTTGTTATGGCAAACAGTGTTTTCTAGATCAGATTGGCTTGCTTTTCTTCCGATAAAAAACCCTGCAAATTTGCATTGTTTCTTTTATTCCTTTGCATGTATTACATCTATGCTCTACTTCGAAGATTTGATCCACTGTTTGAAAGAGGAAGGAAGGTTGGATACACTGTAAAAGTAAAACCTAACATCATTATCTGTACCAGGAAGATCTGACCATTTGATCATTAAAATGGCTTGTTCACAATGTTTTCAAGGCATCGCTTTGTCGTCGCTTAATCGCCTAGGCGCTCCACATGGGACGCCACAGCAGACGACTCGCCTTACGGGGAGGCCTCTGTTCTGGGCGGCGGGAAAACACATGAGAAGGATTGGAAATGGCAGGAAAACTGAGAGAGAAGGGTTGCGCGGGAGAAACAGAGCGCGCCGGAGGGAGAGAGAGAGTGGGCGCGCGGGAGATTCACCAGCAGGAGAGCGGGAGGGGAACCAGAAGCCGCAGCTCGCCCGTGCAGACACGTTCTCCCGCGCCGACGGGAGAAGTTGCTGCCCGCCCGACGCCGAGCCGTGCGGCCGCCTGTGCGGGCTGCGGCCATGTTCCCCCAATCGGCGCTGACCTACTACATCTGGAGGAGAGAGGGAAGCAAGAGAC